GGAACACACTTCCTTAGGATGGATCATAATCCCCATGCTCTGTGCTGGGTGGTCCTAATCTGGCCCTGTTGAGTCATTCAGAGTGAGTGTAATGCCCAAGTCGGCCCTTCATCATGGAACACAGTATTTGGGTCCTCTCCTACTCCAGCCCTCCTATGCTTGTCCCTAGTCTCCTTACCATAAGTGATTATAGCATAAATCTTTCTAAACCAAAGTATTTCTGGATGCTAATGAGTGTATTTCCTGCTGTAGTCAATGCAACAAAATTTCAGGAGTTACAAAAGACTTGTCATTCTTTTTTTTTTTTTTTCATCTCATTCAGCACACTGTTATTCAGCCCACATTCTGAGACCAGGTTAGCCCCTCCTGTTGGCACATAGGATATGAAGGTCCTGTCCCCAGGAGCTTCTCTACAAGGAATGGAGCCAAACCCATAAAGAGAAGTGTAGGGGTAGAAGTGCCAGGAGCCCTGAGAGTCCTTCCCCAGTCGAATCCAAGGTTGAGTGGGGCTAGTTGAGGCCCTTAAAGGAAGGGAGTCTTAGGGTGATGGCATTTTTATGGAATGCTGGTGTATACTTGTGGGTTTCCAGGTGTTTCCTCCCCCTTGAGTACACTAATGCATCAAGGGCATTAAGTAAGCTTGTCTTCCTTTCTTGCTCCCTTAACTCTGATACAGCCTGAGACAAATACCTTAGATCCTCAGTTGCTGGACATTGAAGAGAGCCAACCTTATATTCATTCATGGAATAAAAATATTTATGAAAGTGTTTTCTGAAAAAACTATAGTATGGTAAAATACACAAAATGTAAAATTTGCAGTTTTAACCATTTACAAATGCACAATTCAGTGACATTGTGTGCAATCACAATATTCTGTGCAACCATCACTCTCCTCCAACTCCAGAGCTTTTCACCATCCCAAAGTGAAAGAGTCTATAAACCATGTGTGTAAAGGTAGTTCAATTAGGAGTGAACTGTTGAAGTCTTGACTGGACAACAACACATCTATTACGTAAATAGAAAAATGAGTAAGACAAGAACTCTGCCAGTGAGAACCTCGTAGTCTGCGATGGTGGGACCCTGCCCTATTTCAAGGCAGAGTGGAAACATGACAAAGCATTCTTTGACAGGAATCTGTAGCTTGAAGGAATGCAAATTTTCCTTATTCTACTAGCCCAGGGAAATGGGAGATGCTTTCACCTAGGGCCCCAGATTCTGGTTACCAAGAAGTGTGGGACTTTGTTTCTTATTTTGTTTGGTCTTTTGCACAGGGAGATAGATGATGATGTAACAACTAACATTTGTCTAGAGGCTTTCAGTTGACTAAACCCTTTCCCTAGAGTTCTTGTTTGACCTTCACACTAGCAGACAGTAGGACAGGGAATTCTATTTTAACAGATTTGGAAGCTAGGGTTCAGAACACCCAAGCAGTTCCAAATTTTGCCTAAGGCCACACAACTTGTGTGCAGGTTCGTATTCTGAGCTGACCTTTAGAGGTTACAGAAAACATCTGTGAGAGGCACAGCCTGGTAAAAATGGTCGGTTCTATATTTGGAAGGAAGAGAACCAAGCAGGGAGGCATCTTTATACACAAAGGCATGGAGCCCAAGTCAAATTGAGTTGTTGAGCTGCCTGAGGGTAATGGATTGCTACTAGCAACAGCTGGGGAGGCTGCAGGGTGATGAGATGGAATGCTTTGATGGGCATCACACTGTCTGAAATGCAATTGAATCACAGCAGCTGGAATGCTTCTCAGCACTCTGTTTTAAGAGCCAGAAGCAGCAAATCATTTGAAGCAGTGAGGGAACCCCATGGGTCCACCAGACTACAGAGATCCAGTCATCCAGCCTCTGGGAACTGAGGCTCCATTGGAGTGGCTCACCAAGTGGTGGGCCTTGTTCTTGAGAAATGATGCTCTATTCTCAACTGTTCCTATAAGGCAAACATTGTTTGCCAGACACTATGCCAAACATGAGGCAGAGATGAATGCTCCTGCCCTCGGGAGTTCAGTCCAGTGCATTTCACTCATTACAAGCCCTGTGGGCAGTGTGTATAAATAAGTACAATACAATATCATTACAGAATGGCCTTGGGGAGCCTATGGACTGGATGTTAAATCATACCCTGACACTCTGTCCTTGACCTGGTGCTACACACGCTCAGTGAATTCTAGCTACATAGTTATCTTACTTAAATTCATTATGAGGCTCCTTGAGCTCTACATGTTTCAATTCCAAGTTAAAAAAAAAAAAAAGCCCATTCCCTCTGTCCATGTTTTTGGGCATTTTTGCTTAGTAGTGCAATGTTTTCATGGGTAGCATTTACTTTTATAGGTCAGATGGATCCAGTCATAATTCATTATGATGACATATGCCTCACTGGCCCTAGGAGTCCTCATCTGCTGGGAGGGGAGTCTCCTGGTGCATGTCAAGAGCCTGCAAGTACCACTTCTGAATCAGAGCCAAAGAGCTGATGAAGTTCCAGCTCTGAGAAAGGGGCTCATTCTTGGATTTGACTCAGTCCTTCCCTTGGATGATAAACGATACAACCTCACCAAATCCATCTCAGTTTCTATTGGTTTCAGGTCCTCAGCCAAGCACCATATGGTTTCCCAACCCCCATCATTTCCAGCAAGGTTCTTCCTAAGTAGGGCACTTCGCTGTAACTGGTTCCACTGAACTGTATGAAAGTTGGAGTTATGATGTTCTTTGTTACTGCTACTGCTGATAATTAGCATATTTATTATTAGGAATATTAATAGAGTTAGGAAGTGGGAGAGGTTTAGAAAGATCCTACATCATGTCAACCATCATCATCCCTACCCCTCACCCTGACACACACACACCCAGATAAGAAGGGAAGAAATAACTAATAAAGTAAAATCTTAAAGATTTTGACTGAACTTGGAATTTGTGTAGCCAATTTCTTTTCCCCAAATAATGGGAGGAGAGGTGACAGTGCTCCTAAGCCCAGTCAGCAAGAAATTACTTAAATATTTGTTTCTGTATGTTTGTGTACTGTGATTTCATTATTTTGAAGTAATTAAACACTTCTGATCTGTAGTATTCCTCCATCTATCCCTTTGGAGTGAAACTGTGGAATGTCTGGCGTCCTGGCAGAAAAGCGAACGCTGCCTGAGGATGTCTGGCCTTCTTTCACTTTCTCAAGGAGGTGGACATTACCTTGGGCAGCTCATCTCCAGCAGGATATCCAGAAGCTCAAGGGGGTAGGGATGTTTCTCAGATCTGAAGGATTTCTGAGTTTCACGTCAGTCATCCAACACAGAAGACAGGAAAGGCTTTAGGGAGGAAGTTAGAAGTGGGGCTAAAGCATGAGACAAGTCCTGGCTATGTTGTGTGAAGTGTGAGGAAGGAAGAAAGGACTAGTAAGTAGAACTTGATTTGCGCACAGTACAGATAGCTAGCAATCCGAGGTCTTTGAAATTTTAAACCAGCTATTTTAAGTTTGTTCAAAGATCTAAAGGAAACCATTTCTAATGAACCAAAGGAAAGTCTGAGAACAATGCCCCACCAAATAGAATCAACAAAGATATAAAAATTATGAAAGAGACCAAATAGAAATTCTGGAGTTGAAAAGTGCAATAATGGAAATGAAAAGTTCCCAATAGCATATTTAAGCAGGCAGAAGAAAGAATCAGTGAACTTGAAGATAGGGCTATAGACTATCCAGTGTAGGGAACACAAAACGTAATGAAGAAAAAATGAACAAAACCTCAGAAACCTGAGGGGCACCATCAGGCATGCCAACGTATGCATCACAGGAATTCTAGAAGGAAAGGAGATGGAAAAAAGGTGTCAAGAATATTTAAGGAAATAATGACCAAAAAGATCCCAAATTCGATGAAGCCTATCAATCTACATATCCAAGAAGCTCAAGAAACTCCAAGTAGGATGAACTTAAAGAGACCCATAGCGAGACACATCAAAATCAAACTGTTGAAAGTCAAAGACTTTCAAAGAACTTTGAAAGCAGCAATAGAGAAGCAACTCATCATATAAAAAAGAGCCTCAATAAGATTAACAGCTAACTTCTCATCAGAAACCATGGGGCCAGACACAGTGGATGGTATATTCAAAGTACCAAGTGGAAAAAAATCCCCTGACAACCAAAAGTTCAATATCTCACAAAACTATCCATCAAAACTGAAGGATAAATCAAGACATTTTCACATAAACAAAACTGAGAGTGTTGGTCTTTCGCAGATCTTCCCTACAAGAAATACTAGTGAAGTGAAAGACACTAGATAGTAACTTGAATCAACAAATTAAGAGGACTTGTAAAGGTAAATAATTAAATATAGAAAATGCTATGAATGTATTTTTCATTGATAGCTTGTTTTAAAATCTGATTTAAAAGAAAACTGCATAGGGGTACCTGGGTGGCTCAGTCAGTTAAGCATCTGCCTTCAGCTCAGGTCATGATCCCAGGGTCTTGGGATCGAGCCCCACATGGGGAATCCTTGCTTAGCAGGGAGCCTACTTCTCCCTCTTCCTCTGCCACTCCCCCTGCTTGTATTCTCTCTCTCAAATAAATAAAATATTTTTTTAAGAAAAAGAGAACTGCATAAAGCAATAACAATACATCTATGTTGGTGGAAATAAAATGTATAAAGATGTAATTTGTGATAATAACAACATATGGAATGGGGAATGGAACTATGCAGAAGCAAAATTTTGTGTCATATTGAAATTAAGTTGGTATTAATCCAAACTAGATTATTATAAACTGAGATATTAATGGTTACTTTCAGGGTACCAACCAAGAAAATAAGTAAAAAATATATATATAGTAAATGAAATGATAAGATAATTAAAATAGTATGTTAGAAAATAACTAACACAAAAGAAGACAGTAATGGAGAAATAGAAGAACAAAAAGACATATGAAATAAAGAAAAGAAATTGCAAAATGGCAGACATAAATCTTACTTTACCCAATATATTAAATGTAAACAGTAAACTTTCCAATTAAAAGGCAGATATTGGAAGAATATATTAAAAAAAAACAAAACATGATCTTACTGCATGTTGTCTACAAGAGACTCAGTTTACATTTAAAAGCATAAATAGGGAGAAAGTACAAGAATCAAAAAGGTTATAGCAATAGCAACCAAAAGACAGCTGGAATGCCTCTACTAATATCAGACAAAATAGACTTTAAAATAAAAATTGTTACTAAAGGCAAGAAGGACACCTTATAATGATAAAGGATCAATTCATTAAGAAGACATAACAAATATGAACATATATGAACCTAGAAATAGAGCCCCAAAATATTTGAAGCAAAAAACTTTAGGAGAAGGCAGCTCTGTCCTAAATACTTGACCCCCATGACCACTAGGGATTTATTCCCTTGAGCTAGGGTTTTGTGCCCTTTAAAGTTCTTCATTAACACACACACACACACACACACACACACACACACACACACACACATATGAGCGCCCACACATGTATATACATATAGCCCTTAACCCACCATTTGCATTAATACCTTAGCTGAAATTGGTTTAAGATCCTTCAGAGCACTGACTGCTAGTGACAGAAACAAAGGGTTGAGCTATTTTTGATAAAACATAAAGGTGTGACCTGGAATGAGCCCTCAGGAGAGTAGGGAAGAAGGATGGAAGTGTTAACAGATAAAGAGTACAGGATGGGGAGTGGTGGAAGAAAGCTAGTGTATCACAGAGGAACAGAAAAGACCTCAAAGAGACTGCCAAGAAAGATAAATGCCAGACAAATAGCAAACAACTGCGGCAGACTGCCTGGGTGGCTCAGTTGGTTAAAGCATCTGACTCTTGGTTTCTGCTCAGGTCATGATCTTCAGGGTTGTGAGATCAAGCTCCATGTCAAGCTCCATGCTCAGTGTGGAGTCAGCTTGAGATTCTCTTCTTCTCTACCTGCCCCTCCCCCTGTACATGCTCTCTTGCTCTCATGCTCAAATAAATAAATCTTAAAAACAAACAGACAAACAAATGAACAACTGGGGCTTTGGTTTGGTGCTGAAGCCCCTGGTTTGGCAACTCAGGACTGAGGGCAGCAGCAGATGCCAGAAGCAGCACAAGGAGTCAGAACAGCAGAGAAAATGTGGGACCAAGGATGGTGATGGGCACAGGTCATTCTTAGGTAAACGTCCTGGCACCTGGTCTGAGCTTCTGTCTGAATTCTGGAGAAGCATGGCCGGGAAAGCAGAGTGGTTTGTGGGCTGAAAGATATAGGTACTGATTGGAAAACCATTGGAACAAAGGAGAATAGGGCCAAGAGGCAATGCTGAAAACAAGCTCATAAGCCAGGCAGATGGGCCAAGCAACTGGGTACTCAAACTAGGTAGTGTTTGTGAGAGCACCCACTTCGGAGAGATGCTTAGTAAGTGTTACCTGGTTCTCAATCCAAGATTAGGGCAAGGCTAGTGGTAGGGGCAGTGACTCGAGGTTGACAACAATGGTAGCTCCTACCTGTTAGCACCTGTGTGTGCTGGGCACTGTGCTAAGTATTTCACATTCATTGCCTCACTTAATGCTTAAAACGTCCATGTGAGGTAGACATTGAAACCTCTGATCTACAGATGAACAGGAAACCTGGTCAAGTGACTTGCTCAAGATCATTGCAACAGTATAAATGGTTTGGAGCCAGAGGCTTCTCTGACAGCACTCTGCCAGGCCCTGGGACAGACTCACAGTCACTGGGGTGGCTTTGATCACCTTGATGGCTTACAAGGAATGGGGATAGAAGAGGAAGCTCTGATGTAGGGACTCAGAACTTCTCAGAGTCCCTCTGAAGTCCCATTATCCATACTTGTTTGAAGTGGGGTTAGAGAAAGAAGCAGTAGTGGCCTAAAGACCCTTCCTGCTCTCTTTTCTCTGCCTGGACCTTTGAGGGTTGGTGGGGATTTACCCCATATGCTATAGGGTCAGGCGCTATCTCACTCTATCCTGCTGTAAACCCTGAAGGCACTTTTCCTAAATGGAAAAATGCACCCCCAAGCCAGGACTAGGCCTAGAGGATAAAGGCATCTGTGGGCTTGGGAAACTCCAGGTATAGCCTGCTTGCCCCATAAATTCCAACTACCATCTCTGCTTTTCTGCTTTCAGAAGCAGGAGATCTGGTTTCCTTTCTTTATGATGATCCTTACCCTCTATCTGCCCCCCTTCTTGGAACAACACATGTTCGCACAGCAACACACACCCACACAGATACTGGAGGGCCACTTCTGGGTGACCCATTATCCCCTGCATCCCATGAATGAGACCATTGCTAGTGCCCTTTCTTTGAAAGAGTTTTTTCTGTGAGTTCCCTTCAAATTTAGACTGAGGGCCAGGGCCAGACTAAGTTGGAAAATGAAGGTATCATCATAAACATTCTGAGCAAGAAGAGCCAGAAGCATCAAAGAGCCCATCCTTCATATTACTGATGAGATGGTAGCCCAGGCAGGGAGCTGGCTGGCCCAAGATCTTGGGGCACACCCTGGTGTTCAGTGCTGGGTTTAGTTCCATGGGCTCCCTGGTGCCTCCAAGCACTAAATGAAGGAGAGAAAAGCCTGTAAAAAGGGGGAAGACACTTATGTGATGATCCATGGGGCCCTGACCCTTTTAGGAATCTGGGGAGGAGGCTTTAGGGAATAGCCTTAAAACTCTGACCAGTGGATTCTCTCCTGCCTGGCTGGCTGTGTACAGTTGTCTTGAGCCCTCTTGGAGGCCTGTGGACACTTTCTTCTCCTCTCCCTTCCTGGGTCTCGCTTGGGTATGGATACCATTCACTTTCCTGTGGGGCTGGGCCTGCAGCCCTAGGGTGGTAATGTTCAGTGATCTTCATACCTTTTCATCCAAGCTCCCACTCAGGGTGAGAGCACCCTTCCCTTGCCAGCCCCCCCGACAGCCAGCCAGTAATGCTGGAGCCCTGCTAGGGCTAGGAATTTACTATCACCCAGATGGAAGGAAGCACCCATGGGCCCAGATCATTCCTGCAAGCACCCTCTGCTGGTGAAGTCCCAGGGGCACTGAAGCCTATAGCTACACTCTGCTCACTTTTCAAACACCAGCTATATGTCAACAACACAGCCACACTTTCTTTTTTTAAATACAGTCTTCTAAAAAAAAAAAAAAAAAAAAAAGAAAAGAAAAGAACATGAAGTCTCTAACTATGGACCTGGTGCTGGGCCTCACTGCCTGCATGTCAATCTAACTTGTTAATCATCATGTACAATTTTTCGAAGAGCTATTTTGAGAAACATTGGAAAATGGCTTTTACAAAGCTATATATACCTTATTTATATTCCAGAAATGGTCGCTCTGTTTAGCAGCAGATGGGCTTTTCCCTTCGTTTTCTTTTCGTCTCTCAATCAAAGTTAAGCAGGAAGTAAGCCCACTCCCTAACCCCAGGCACACATTTATCACCCACAGTCCACCCTGGAGTCAGGGTCATGGTTGGGTGGTTCAGAGGAAAGGGTGTGGATTTCTTGTAAGGCACATTTCAGAGACCATGAAGGAACAAATACAGGAGGCATGGTGGCTGCTGAGAGCCTGGGTTCTGCAGCCTGGAAAGGTGGGATGTGCTGGGGGTGGGATGTGCAATAGAATATGGATGCCCTGGCTTACTTTTCTCAACACCATGTGGGCATCTCAAGGTCCATGAAGCATATACCAAGAGCATCCCATTGATATCCAGAGAACAGGAGCCAAAGGAAGCCCAACCACCCTGGCTCTGCCAGAGTGCTATATCTTTGGCCTACAAGAAGCAGCAAGTCTGCCCTGTGCAGTTACCGCAGCAACCACAGTGCTGCAGCTCCTAAGGGCAAGGGGAGCAGAAGGGAGGTGGAGAAGGCATGTGGTGATTTTTCTGGAAAAGCCCATCTGTTTCTTTTCTCCACAAAACCAAGCTGGGGGTGTGTGTGGCAGGAGGTGGTGGTGGGATGGGTGCCTGGGTCTAGAGAGAGATCTGGGTCTAGAGAGAGATCTGGGTCTAGAGATAGAAGACTCCAGAATGCTGCAAGAGCAGCTTTCCTGCCTGGATGTTCTCCTCTTCCTGGCAGTAGAGGCAAGTCACTGACAAAGACAAAGGCTTAAGCAGTCTGTGGTGGAAACATTCAAGCAGGAGCCTATGTGCAGGATTCAGGCTAAAAGTCTATGACCTCAGACCTGCATGGAGCAGTCCTAGGAGGACTCTCATCAGCCACAGCAAGACTTCTTTTTGGCAGGGCGGTCAGCCTGTATTGTGTCCTCCCTTGCTGTATCTTCCTGTTTCTTGAGGATCCTGGAAGAGGGGAAGGTACAGTGTCAGTAGTGGAGAGCTGCTAGATCCTTGGGTTACAAGCCATCTGCATGATAAGGAGGGAACTCAGTCTCACTAGGGCATCAGAGTATTTAAAGTCTCCCCCTCGGAAGTATAGGTACATAACCATAATTTGTAAAGACAAAGTTTAGTCAATATGGATCCTTCATGAAGGATCTTCTTTCAAGAAGCCTCCCCTGATTCTCCAGGTGGTGTAAGTACCCCTGCCAGCATTCTGACCATTCCCCTGTTATAATGCCATCATCCCATGTCAGAATGTACTGCTTCCCTGGTTGGCTCCCTCAGGCAAGAAAGTTGCTTGAAGACAGAGACTGTATATTTTGTCTCTGTGTCTCTGTAGCCTATCATAGTACCTGGCACACAGTAGGGACTCAGAAAATATACTTTTTGGTTACATACTCTATAGAAGGTCTACAAGTTGCCAAAGTTCATGATTAGATGTAGGAGGTAAAGGATTAAAAATAGTGGTATCTTATCCCTGCTTTATACTCTCAACGTGCTTTCACCTTAACCATCTCTTTTGATATTTATAAGAGCCTGAGTCCACAGGGATGATATGATTGATGTTCTTTGTTAGGGGCAAAGCTTAGAGAGATAGAGTGACTTGCCCCAGGGAATTAGTGGTGGAGAAAAGCCTACAGCTTTCCCCATGGTCTTCCATAAGTTCACAACCTCTCCAAAGTATAGAAAAAGTTGTTTTGGATAGATGGATAGTTGAGTTGATGGATACATGTATGAATAGATAAATGGGTGGGTGAGCGGATGGATGGGTGGAGAGATTGGAGGAATAGGTCAATGGTTGGATGGATATATGGATGGATGGATGGATGGATGATAGGTGAGTGGATGGCTGGATGGGTGGGTGGATAGACAGAATGAAATGAATGCTTATAAATAAATGAATAAATGAGTGATTGTCCAAGTATTGAAAATAGGACCCTGTATGGTTTTGTTTTTATCTTTTAAATTTTGGTATAGGTTGGAGACTTATGAAAATAGTCTTTTGGCAGAACTAACCCTTTGAGCATTGTCACCTTGGGTGCCTCTAGTCCTCCCGAAGAGCCCCTCCTCTCCTTGGCTTCTCCACCCCCTCCCCTGAAGCCCATATTATAACTGTTGTTTCTAGCTGGCTGCCAACTAATTCCTGCTAAAATATTAGCCACTGTTCAGGGACCTATGATATGACCTTTCCCAGAGCATTTGCATTTAAAAAGAAGATCCCTGGGAAAAAGGCAGCTTTTCAGACTCAGAAGAAGAAGACTGCAGTGGGGGTGAGAGGTAGGGAGGCTTTCTTTTTTGTCCTTATTGTATTGCAGAAGGCTTGTCCCTGAATCCCACACAAAGGCTTCAGCCTCCAGCCCCTTTACCCAGAAGGTTCAGACAGAGGGAGTATCATCCACATAGAAGTGAATGCCATGCTTCCCCCCAGACCTTGATTGTCGGGATGTGCCTCTTTACCTGGCTAGATGGAGCAGAGACTCTTTGGTGTTGTGACCGGAATAGGCACTGCATTCATAGAAGATCAGATTGTTCTCCTGGAATTATAAGACAGAGGAGAGAGAAAGAGAGTCCTGGGGGTACTGATCAGAAGCATGGGAGATGGGAGGAGAACACCTCGTGGGCATCAACCCACATCCCTCACTTCCTCTTGGAGACCCCTTTCATTCCTCTCCCCTTCCTGGTCCTACCAGAGAAGGTTGATTTCCCTCTCCTCAGGCTCCCTGTCTAATATACGTTCTGTGATTACAGAACTCTCCCAGATGAGTTTTAACAATTGTAAAACCCCAAACTGTATGCTGCCTTAGTGCTTTATGCTTTCCCAGATTGCTCTCAGGTATGTATATGTTCATTTCCTTTTCACAGCAGCCTGTGATGCTGGCAGATACAAAGGCTGGGATGGGCCACATTCTTCCCACTGCACAAGCAGGGAAACAAAGTGCATGGTATAAATGGTGGCAGTTCTGTTCATTCAATGACTTAGTTAATGGCAGGACTCCCAGCAACATGCTCTTCCCAGGACACTGGCATTCTATGACCCTGGGGCAGATGTCACTAAGGCACTCCAGTAGAAATTCTCCTTCACACCAGTTAATTAATATTCCTGCTGCCGAGGCCAGGGTTGGTGCCAAAGGACAATTGGCCAACACTTCAGTAGGCATCGTAGGGGCTCTTGGCCAAGGGTCATCATTATATCCATTTATAGCTCCTGTCAATAGAGAAGCAGGAGCTCCCTTAGGACAGTGCTAACACATGGAGCATGGAGCCCTGGGGGCTGATGCCCTGAGGGGATGCAGGCAGCTGAATGCGGACACTTCCTCTGAGGTCTGCATATCTGGAGACTCTACAAACACTGGCTCACAGTTCTGCTTTCCTGATTCATACCCCAGGGGCCCACTCTATCCTCTGGTCCTCTTCACCCAGCCCCTGTCCACACTTCTGTGGGAGCCTGACTCTGGGCCAGTCTATGGAAGAATAAAGGCTCCATGGTAGGGGGGTAGGGGTGGAGAGCACACAGGATCTAGAATTAGAAGACAGAATTTGTCTTCCGGCTTTCCTTCCTGATCCCATCACTGAGGACCTATGTGATAAACTGAATCAATCAAAACTTCTCTGAGCCTTGTTTTTGTTTGTTTGCTTGCTTGCTTTTAACTGACCAAGAAAAGACAAAAGGAAAAAAATGGGATGATAAAAATACAGGTCTGCAGTTCATGAATCAAAATCCTTGGATCCAGAGACTGAGTCTCAGAGAAATAACAGATGCATATACCATATATTATATTACCCTCAGAGGGTCCAGGATAGCACCCTATAATCAAACATAGTAATATTTCTTCAGTGAAACATTTGAAAATTCACTCAAACAGGGTAAACAAAGACCATAAATGCTTCACGTCAGTTATGGTCAGATTTTTCTGCCAGATGAAACATGAGAAACCTTTCTGTTGGCAGAGTCCTTCCAAATGTCAGTATTGTGGCTAAGGGACTGCGACAGGCAGTTACCTCATCACTCTGCATGGGAACATCTGCAAGACCCTTCTTCCTCCTTTTTTCCTTGACCTTTACCATCTGTGCCGGTCTTCCCAGCCTCAGGGGCCGTGAGTCCCTGAGTTTAGAGTGAGCACACTAAGAAATATGGAATCCTGGGGCTGGAAAGCACCCCCATCTTTCCAGACATACAGTTTCCTGAAAACCACTTGGAGGCAGTAGAAAGAGCCCAGAAGCCAGCACAATCTTGCTGCCTGATTTCCGTCAGGCCGTACTGTTCCCCAGTTTGGGCCAGAGGGCTAACGCTTCTTTTAACAGTAAGTTTTTGAGTGCATGCTTTGAGTTTAAATTTATCTCAAGTTCACAGGCTCATTGAGCCTGCAGGCTCAATCTTGATAGAATGGATAAATTCTTGACAGAGCTATTCAAAGAAGAATCAGCTGCCCTCAGATAGTGAGTATTTCATCCCTGGAGGTGATCAAGTGGAAACACAGATGAAGGGATCCAAGTATCTGATAGGGGATTTAAATAAGTAACCTCTTACTACCTAAGAATTTATCATTCTGAATTCCAAGGAAAAGAGTTTCCCTATATCTTCATCATCCCCTGCCACCTCTGTCTCGCGATGTGGGACTTTCTACAAAAAGTTCCACCTACACAGGAGTTGGGCCATTCCTATGATGCCAGGATACCCGTCTTGCCCACTTGCTTCCTTCTCCAGGGGGCTTCCAGAGAAGGCTCCCACCAAGGCTCCTGAGCACAGGCCTCATGGCCCTTGGGGTCCCACCCCAACCAGAGAGATGGAAACGTTTGTTCTTTACCTTGGAAAGTTGTTCTCCGAGGCCTCGGGGAACTTCCCGCTCTTTCTCATTGTCAACTTTATTGCCCAGCAGAAGAACAGGAATGTAGTCTCCCACAGCTTCCTGCAGAACAGATAATACCCCAACTGAGAGAAGCATCCATAAAGAAACCCCAGAAGGGCAGGCTTAAAATCCTGGCAGGAAAGATGCAATCTGGCTTGCAACACCCCTGCTGCCACAAGCAGGCCAGGCGATAATCCAGTCATCACAAAAGCTAAGAGGGAGAGTCATGTTCTCTGAGGGTCTCAGTTTATGAGGCTTCTGCAGGGTGCCTCAGATCTGCCTCTGGGTACCTCCCAGATTCGGCTTGCAGTGACTTCTCCCTCCTTCATCACTCATCCTTGCTGGATGGGACATGCAGGCCCCCTCAGGTGTGCTGAGGGTAACGGGATGAGGGGACAGTAGAGCCTGATAAACTAGGTGTCCTTTAACAATGCTTATTAGCATCTCTGAAAGCATTCCTAAGTGACCGGACTTAGTCTAAACGAACCAGAATGAACCAAAGGAATTCATGTAATGTGGTTTGGAGCAGGTCTAAGGGCCACTTTGATTAGACGTAGCATCTCCAGAGGCCTCATATTGAGCACAGAAGCTCCCAGATGGTTGGGTCCAAGTCTCATACCTGGTATTGGGTCCCTAGTGCCCAGTATACAACTGTTGTGTGCGTAATTGGAGGTCACCCCGTGGGGTGCGCAGCACCCTGTCTCTGCTTGCTCTGGCTCTGACTAAAGCCCCACAGGGGAAAGAGCTCTGTGACCACAAGTAACAGGTATTCAAGGGGTCAGCTTTCTTCACTCCTCTGATGACTGTGGCATATCAGCCACCAGCCCACACCCCAGTCTCGGCATCCCGGGGTGTCCTCCCTTGTGTAATGTGTGTACTTTCTGTGCCTCTTGGGATGGCAAACAAAGGGCCCACAGCACGCAGCTATTAAGTGAGTATATATGGTAATATTCACATTCGAGCAGTTTGTTATTTTTACTTAGTGAGATATTTAATTGGGTCTTTTAATAATAATTTGGTAAACAATAATTATTCATTTTAGCTAAAATGTTTTACTAACGAGAGAGGGTTGGGGGATGATAGAAGCTAACAAGCCCTTCCAGTTTTTCTAAGAGTTCAGCCACTTTATCTAACCACTTCATATCAATATCCCAAGTCCATCCAATAGATGCACATATTTTAAGTTTGAGTGCAATTATCTTTGAAATCAAGCCTCCATGGCTCCTTAATCTATACGTTCACTTTATTGCAGTTTGGTAGTGAAAAAAATTCTCATTTACTCAACGAGAACATTAAGCCTCAGAGAATCCGAAAGAATATTTGATAACAAAGTCGCTGCGTTATGAGGAGCCTTTAGTCTACAGTCCATGATTCTCCAATGTTTTTCTCTACATTCTGGTTTCCAGTGAATTCTCTGCTACTTAGTATCTTATTAACTAGAATTCTCTCAAAGTGGTATTTCCATCTATTCATGGTCAGATGGTAATTCATGTTGGTAATGCATCTTCTGATCCATCACAAATAGATCAAATTATGTGCACTGTAGTTGATGTGCTAAGTTGATTGCACCCTTTCCAATTATTTGCAAATGAGAAACTACTTATGGCATAGAGACCATGCTGTGGCTCCCTATTACCAGAGCATTGAGTAATAGGAATACCCCCATTTTCTGACTGTGTTGTGCCACAGAAACTTGTGTGAAGACTTTTTCACAGAAAAGGAAAAAAAGAGGAGAAAGCAAGGAAATGGGCCAGAAGGCTTGCTGTGTGGAGCACATGAGAGATATTTGTAGATTTATGTGTGAGGGATGACTAAGCCTTGTGGGATTTCTTGACATGGAAACTCTGAAAATATGAGCATCAGACTTGAAATCCGAAGGCAGAATTCGAACCTGGATTCAGGTAGGTTGGAATGGGTGATGGCTTCAGCCTCCTCACTTACAAAGGGGATGGTGGGTACTGAATGACCGAATAGGATCAGGTAAGGAAGAGTCACATGCCCAGCATCTGAGCCCAGTACACCACAGACAGCAATGCTGCCTCTGAGGGAAAGGCGGTTGGGGTGTGGGGTTGTGGCAGGGTTGGGGGGGCAGCTTCTTTTTTTAAAGAAATTCCTGGATATAAAAATAAAACATCTTAGAAGGAGCAGAAAAAAGCCAAGGCCTCCCCCTACCCTGCCACCCCCCAGCTGTGGCTTCTGTCCTTTGCATTGTTCCTCTCTTATGCAAATACTCGGGACAGCTGGCTTCCCTTCTGTGGGCCTTGGATTGCTGCTGATAAAGAATTCGGTCTATCCCCAAAGATGTGGCAAAAATAAGTGAGCACCAGCATAAGGCCAGAAGAGTATGCTGGCCATCATAGGCAGTCAGTCATCAACACCCTGGCCCAACACTGGGCTCTGACACAGGGCCACAGGGAGGGTTGGGGCCAGGGTAGGTGTCTCGTGGTCCTCTCTGACCTGAACCTCAAATCTTCGGCTATCTGCCCAAACCTTACATTCTTCACGTACCCCGCCTAGTTGTTCAGCCTGTATACAGCTTGGCACAAAGAGGTTCATCAGTACCCACTGACTGACACAACACTCCCTTTTGAAAGTCTAAAGTGCATCTCTTTTGGGAAACGAGTCTAAAGTCTACCCCACCTCTGCTGACATTTCTATAGATGCCAGGAGAACTCTGTAGGCATGACAGGTCAGAGAGAAGGAAGCAGAGCTCTTTGGAAGGGCACACAACCCAACCTGACTGTGTGGGACCTGTCCAAATCATTCCTCTTCACAGACTCTCTTCTGTGAGCTGTGAGATGGACCTATACAGCTGCTTCCTATCCTCTGATACTCTGACATAGAAGTCTCTCCATTCCTCCAACCATTTCAGTTGCCTTTCTTTGAACTCGTGCTTGTTGGAAGACAGACGTGTTGAAATTCAAAAGATTACCCACCTCTGACTTTAAATAACACGAGCTGTCAACCTGGAGCAGAGGACTGACATTCAGCTCAGAACGTGCAGCTGTTGGGTTTGGTTGGCTGTAGTATGTGTGAGTGTGACTGTGTGTGTGTGTGTGTGTGTGTGTGTGTGTGTGTTAATATGCATTTGCTGGGAGGCAAGAAAAAGCACTTAGCCAGGATAGTGCTGCTATTTCTCTGGAGCCAGAACAAAAAAATTTCTCAGCACATTAAAGCATGTAGTTATGCTAAGAAAAAAATGACTGCAAAATTATATCTTGGGGGTTTCCATATTTATCCACCCCCTGGACTATGAGTCAAAACAAGATTTATTTGTGTAGTTCGTTTTAAACTGCCAGCACTTCAAGCTCAACTTGGAACATGGGGGAAAAAAATCAAACTGCTATTTTTTGCTCTGTGCTGTGCAAAGATCACAGAATGAGAATTAGCTAGTGGTCCACGAAAGGAGAGGAAAGTGGGCCTGGCCCCTTCGAGCTATAGAATTGTTCTGCTGTGAGGTGGAAGTGGCAAGGACTGAAAAGAAATGAACACCTATTTTTCAGAAGCAGATTTCAACCATGGACCATGTGATGCTCTTGTCACATAATGCATAATGCAGCATAATGCAGTGGCAAAGCCCTAGATTCTAGTTCCGGCTGGGCGTCTGGCAAGCTGTGGGTACTTTTGGACAAGTCACTTCCTCTCTCTGGATCACAGGACTTTTCATCCATAAAACCAGAGACTGCATTAGATTAATCTTCAAGTTCTTTCCCAGCTTGGAGACACTGCTCCTGTTGGCTTAATGACTCCAGTCATTTTCCACCTCCTTGACTTATAGGCCTAACAATACAGGGCTCTCAGAGTGACAAAAGATGGAAACAAGAAGTTCAACATGCCAGGACCACAGACATCAGGGACCAACAAACTGGATTTGAGAAAAATACCAGCCCTTTCAGGTTTGTACCAAATCCTATTTTCCCTAACTGATACAGGCCCCAAAGTCTCCAGGCATCCAATTTGTCCCATGGTCTAAACATGGGACCCTTAGAGCCCAACCAGTTTCTTCTCTGGATTAGATTGGCTAAACCAGTCCTCCCAAGGAGAGATGAGAAGGAGGTGGGGGAGGGTTGGAAATAGTGAGTTCCCAGGAATGGTTACTTGCTTTGATGTGCTATATGGTACATAGGAAATGTAAATGGCAGGAGAATCAGCACAGGATGTGCCTGGGCCTCTTCCGTGGAAGGCCTGTGGGCAAGGTAGAGCTGCCCCGGAGAGGAAAATGTAGGAGGACAGCCATGGGGACCAGGCTCTCCCACCTCATAAAGCAGAGCAAGTGTTAGGTCTCTTGTGCCAAAGGAGCTTGGTTCCGTTGGGGCTGGAAGGATCTATTATGGTCCTCTCATCCGTGCATACTCCAGCTCTATCCTGGAGCCACCCGTGCCCAGAGGATCAAATGCCCCCTGTAAGAATGTGGGGGCCAGAACCCTTTAGAGCTTCTGCTCCACTCTGTCATTGGGTGATCGGCCAGTTTTGTGGCCTGGAAGTGCTGAGCTGGGATAGTAAGTACTTCCTTTATAGGGTACTCTACACCCCACCCCACCCCCCAAACATCTGTTCCCACCCCACACAACCTCTTCCAAGAGTGAGTCTTTGCCACGTATAATCTGTGGCAATTTAAGCCCTTTCTTCTTACACTGCTTTTCAGGTTGCAGGAGGAAGGGGCGCTGCGAACAGCTGGCCAGCATTCACTTAATAATAAGGCTTCAGAACCTGAAGCCTGTTATTAAAGCTCCCCCTCCACCCTCCCTTCTCCAGGCGAGGGAGTTGGCAAAGTGCTTGGAGCTCTATGGAAAAATAAGGTGCTCCACAAATATAAAGTACTTATTATTTTCAATCCCCTCCGATCAAATTAGGTGTCAGGTTTTAATCTGTCACCTGACACCTCTGATTGCTGGTTGCCAAGGCAGAATGACTTCAGCTTTTCAAGAATCTTGAGAATAATTGCATTCATGATCCCACTGTTCCACACCTTTGACACACACTCCACCATCTGACGCTTGATCACATGTTCACACAACTGCCCCCAGCACTTGTTCTTGAAACCCTGGGCCACAGGGCTGGGTCCCCGTACCAAGTCCCCCAGAGTGCCTCACCAGTGCTAGACAGGTGGGTGATGCTCAGTAGATTCTTGTTGAAGGAACGCAGACATCTTTGAAAGTGATTCAGAACCTTGCTTCTCAAAGGGTGGTCCCCAGCCTGGCTGCATTGGCCTTGCCTGAGAACTTGTTAGAAATGTAGAATCTTGGGGCCTATCTAAGATTCTGAACCTGCGGAGTCACATTTCATATTTTCACAAGGTCCCCAGGAGATTCCTCTGCATATTAAACTTTGAGATGCACTCTTTAGGCTTGGAATCAGGGCAGCAGGGAATCAGTCTACTGCCTTTTTTCTTTTTTTTTTTTAAATTGTATTTCTGGGCTCTGAATCGTTCTATTTGGGAAAGAAAGCCTAACATCTGTTTTGTTTGAAAGCATCATAGGTGATCCTGATTATTCAGGTTTGGAATCGCCATTTAGAGTTTTACCTGTACCTTCTGCTGATAGTCTCAAGAAGGAAAATCCAAACTCCCAATTATACAGAAAAGCCCCATCCGCACCCAGAGAATTCTGAGCAAAGCGCATTTTGGCGTGATTTCCTGGGCCATTGATGCAACAGGGCTTCCCTGAGGACTCTTGCTGGGTACGTGCTGACGATGCTTTTCAGCCCTACCCAACTTGGGAACATGGCAGTCATCAGATGCTTGGCCTGGTTTTCCGGAAAATGACCAAACTGGTGCTTCCAGCTGCAAAGATGGCCCTCTGATATCTCTTCGCCTCACTGCCACCACCATATTCGACTGATATTCCACCTCTCTGACTAGATCCCGGGCTCTTAATGCAAAATAGGGGCCTCAGAAACTACTGCTCCTACTGATGACAGAGAGCACGGTTCTGCAAGTTTGCCTCTATCCATCCCTATTAATCCCAGACTACTGCCTTTCAAACTGCCTCCTCTGCCTGCAGTTGTCCCTATCAAGGGACAATGAAATGGCCATAGCTGGGAAAAGAATGGGTGGTGCAGAAGTCATGGCCTCCATTTCTTCCTTTGAGAATGAAATGTTGTTTTAGATCAGTGATTTTCTAAGGGAAACCTGCTTGTCTAACAAAATTGTGCCCAGGGACGCCTGGATGGCTCAGCGGTTGAGTGTCTGCCTTTGGCCCAGGGCATGATCCTGGAGTCCCGAGATCAAGTTCCGCATTGGATCCTGCAGGGACCCTGCTTCTCCCTCTGCCTGTGTCTCTGCCTCTCTCTCTGTGTCTCTCAAGAAGTAAATAAATAAAATCTTTTAAAAAAAATTGTGCCTAGACTTCCAATAATGAAAACTGAATGAAGCCAAGTAGCTTTGACTGACCTGGGAGATGAGGGACCCAGATTTGCAACCCTAGGCCCTTTCCTGCCCTCCTCAGTTCCCGGAGGACATCGTTACGTTTCCAGGGCTCTAAGGAAACAAATTTGAGAACCACCAGATCAGATAACCTCTGAAGTCTCTCCTGGTGTTTAATTTCTGTGAGGAAGATAAATTTGCAGCATTATTAAAAAAAAATCGTGTCATAAATTCCAAAGTTTAAACAAGAGTCACTTCCAGATATCCGTCCCATTTTTCCACTATTAGCTCGATGTAGAGCCATTCACCACATTTCAAAACTTACATTTTCTCTACTGTAAGGTTCTCAAGTACAATCATTTTGAGAAATGATTTGTATGAAGCAAATTTCAGAGAAACCTTTGAATCTGGTTTCCACTCTTGTTCCTTATTTTTCCTGGAAACGAGAGGGGTGTGGATTAGCAGCAGAGAAAGGAGTGGCCCAGCCAATCTAAACTATAAGAGAAACAGATTTTGGTGGGAGGAATCACAGATCTTAGGGCCAAAAGGATGAAGAAATGAACAACTTCAGTGTTCTGCCCGCATGACAAAAGAGTCTCCGTTCACGCCTCCCACATCTGTGCAGCACGAGTTCTGTGGGACCCGTGCCAAGTGCCAGTTGCACAGTGACCAAGACACGGTGTCAGCTCTCAGGCGGCTGGAGAGCGGCAGGAGTGGGCTGGCACAGGGTCCTTCACAGCAGTGCTACTGTGTGGGGAGGAGGAGGGGGGTTGCCAGGTCCTAGGGTTGGAGCAGAGGGTTGAATGTAAGCTCCATGAGGACAGGTACCTTGTCTCTTATCTGCTGCTCTGATTCCCAGACCCTAGAACAGTGCCTGGCAGGGCTTTAGACAAATAAATGAGTAACACATGGATCCTGCAGGTAGCAGGAGTGGGGAACCCCACGTGATCATTTTGTTGAAGACTCTTCTGAGACCCTGTAAAATAAATACGTGGCTTGTCCACCCTGACTGTGGCCTTGAGAAGGCTGCATCTGAGGGGTAGACGTCATCAGAGGGTTAAAAAAAAACATACAAATTGAAGCAGCTTATTACAAATATAAATCAAAGTAGAGTCTTAACAGATAATCCAGAATTCAAAGAAGAGGCCTGTTGCCTGGTGAGCCCTAGCCAGCATGCCTCTGGGGTGAGCAGGGGGGCCCTCGCATTGTAGACCAACCTCCCCTCCTGTGAAGGGTCATGGCAGAGGCCCGAAGACCCTGTGTGGTGCCGCTCCTGGGCTGGGCACAGCTAGGTCCACTGGAGCTGGAACGGCACAGAGGGCAAAAAGGGGGGACAGAAGGCCGGTGGGACTCAGCTAAAATACTGGTTTCTTGGGGAAAACTTCCTTGACACTCCATCCTGAGTCCCTCTCCCAGTCCTATCTTTTTTTTTTTTTTTTAAGATTTTATTTATTTATTCATGAAAGGCATACGGAGAGAGGCAGAGGCACAGGCAGAGGGAGAACCAGGCTCCTTGCAAGGAGCCTGATGTGGAACTTGATCCTGGATTCCAGGATCATGGTCTGAGCCAAAGGCAGAGGCTCAACCACTGAGCCACTCAGGCGCCCCGCCCCTCCCAGTCTTATCCTATTCACTCATGGCACTTATGGCGATTATAATACAGTTATCGGTATAATCTACGTCTTTCAGGTGCCCTCCTCCATGAGGGCAGGGACTGTGTCAGTTTTGTTCATACCCAGGATCCAGGGCTGGGCTGGAGTTGGCCCTATGAAAGCAGAAATCGGTTTGTTCCTTGTTCCCATAGAAGGCGAGTTCTGAATCAGGTTTTGGAAGAGCTGAGTGGGGGCAGGACACAGGCAGGGACAAGGGGGAGGCAAGAGTTGGCATAAGTGCTCACCTCCACGCTGCTCAGCCACTGCCGGATGGATAGGAATGACTGTCTGGCTGTGACATCATACATGACGATGACGCCATCGGCCTTCCTGAAGAACTGCTGGGTGATGCAGCGGTACCTGCCACAGAGGGTCACACATCAGGGAGTGCATGGCTTCCCCCCGCAGCCCTCTGGAAGGCAGGTGGAGGAGGCAGGGTTTGGCCAGGGATGCTCCTCACCTCTCCTGACCTGCTGTGTCCCATAGCTGCAGCGCCACATATGAGTCATCCACACGTACCATCTTCACCTGATAATCGATGCCTACAAGATAGAATGAGCCTATCACGTCCAGATCAGTAAACAATTCCCCGACATGTCTGGAAGCAAGTGAGGCCAGGGGCGGCAATCCTCCCTGGGTAGCTCCCCCCGGGAGGGGCTGTGGGGAATTGGACAGGGACGCTCGGAACCCGAGTCCTGGTCCTGTCTCTGCCATGGTGGAGCTGGAGGGTGTGGGTCAAATCACTTAATCTCTCTGAACCTGCAGAACCTCACTGCAATGTAATCCAGACCCTCTTTAGGGATTCTATAATAGGGTTCAAATGAGATCACATATGTAGAAATAGATATGCCAAGGCAAAGAGAATTGTTATTTTTCACAAATCTACTCCCTCCCTGCAAAGATGGAGGAAGAGGAAACTGTCCTATTTCTTTTTCTCCATCCTCCCTAAAATCCTTTTCGAAGTTCCCCTAACAAAATTCAAATATCCCTGGGGGGACGGATCGTACTTTCAGACTTCCATCAGCCAATGCAAAGGTATGTGGAGGGACTGGGTATACAGAAGGGGACTGGGTGGCAGGGCAAGGGAGGGTCAGAAGAGAAGGGGTAAGGGAGGAAGAGTCAAAAGCAACATTCACCCTTGAGATGAGCTTAAAGCCTAGCCCCTGGCCCAGTCAAAATCATCTCTCTGAGGCCGTGACCCTCCCAAGTCTTGGACCAGAGAGACAAGGTCAGGCATTCTGTACCCCACAGGGGCCCTCAGAGATAAGGACCTTAATGCAGCTTCTCCGAGAACATGTGAGAATATTCAAATGCTTAACGCTTAAAAAAAAAATTTCCACCTCAAGGCATCAAATCTGGGAACCAGAGGGCATCCCTTGCCACCTGCAAAAAGCCCGGAGGGAGGAGTTAAGACAGCCTATCTGATTGATGTGCAAAGCTCAGTAAGGGACAGCAACAGAGGCCAGACAGAGACAAAAGGGACAACAGAGAAGCAGTAAATAGGAAAGGTCATCCCAGCCATTGTCTCCAGGCAAAGCCTAGTGCACCTGGGAGCTCCAGAGTGGCAGGAAGGGGGGAGGAAGAGTCCTGGGCTCCTAGAATGTCAGACCAGCAGGGGCTCTAGAGACCTTGTGCCTCACTGGTGAGGGCCAGAGAGGTCAGCACATTTGTGCATCCGGGAAAGAAAAAGAGCGATTTTGTCCAATTGGTAGAATGCTTGACATTTCTAGTTTTCCTATGCCATCCCTCCGTCTTCACAGTGTTCCTGTGACACCCACGAGGATTATTTGCACACATGTGCATGCCCAACCACACACACTCATGCACATGCACACAGATGTGTGCGTATGGACTCCCAACCCCCACAGTGAGACAATGAAGCAGCCAGAGTCCAGTGACCAGATACCTTGCCCACTCTAGGCAGCAGCTATAGCAAGTTGCGAGCCAGCTCTGAGGCTCATTTTTTTTTTTTTTTTTTTTTTTTTTGCAGCAGTGCCCTGTTCCCCAGGGACACCTGGTGGCCTCATTAACCTAGAAAGTCCAGGCTAAGTGTTCCCAACAAAACGGATTATGACTAGCTGGGCTGAATCTAGGCATGAGTGTTCTTAGCTAAAAGTGTAAGGGTCTCCCCAGTCTGTGCTCTGGTGGACTGAAGGAGCTGCTGGCTGTCTGAAAACAACTCTGGAGAAAGCTAAACATGGTCAACATGCTTTCAGGGCCTGATCGGAAAGCAGGCTGAGGTCTAAAGCCCCTGAGGTAAGAGCCCTCCCCTGGAAAGTCATGCAGGCCGAGGGGCAGGTGTGGCTGCTTGGGGCAGTTGGGCCTTGGCTGCGGTCATAGTCCTGCTCTATCTCAGTAGGTAAATACTTTGCTGGAGGACAGGGAGCTTGTCTTGTAGGGAGCAAGTTGCACCAGGGAGTACTTGAAAAATGGGTGCTGTGCCATGGTGAGCTTGCCGACAGCCCCTGCTGGGGACACAATGTACTTGTCTCGGCAACCTCCAACAGAGAGGCCCAGAAAACAGATAAAGTCACAGAGTGGGGTGGGAGGGAGACAAGGATGGTGACAGGAGACACAAGGAGTCCAAGTCCAACAGAACACGCAACACACAATAACCAGAGAGCCTGTAATAAACTGGTTTCTAAGACCACAAGCAGTTCTAACATTTCAGGAGTTGGCAAACCCATGTTGCACATTGCAGCCTCAGTTCTGCACCTGACCAGCCATGTGACCTTGATGACATTATGTCACCCTCCTCATCTGCAAATGAAGTGTGATAGAGGGTGTAGAAGGGTAGGTTACATGTTCATAATCTTTAAGTTCAGCTGTAGCATTCGACAAACACATGGCAGTGACCCCCGACTTGTAACCTAACTGGTTCCTGAATGACAGTGGGGCATCAGGAGTCCCCGTCACTGAGAATTGTGTAGTGTCTCCTTATGGGATGGTGTGAGTCAATGTTGGGCTGATGGACTCCAGGAAGGGTGACATTAACCCTTCTGGACAAGACAGGCTCAAGATGTTATCAGAGGGGGATTTGGGAGTGGGAAGGGCCTGCAAGTTGTCATGGAGAAAAACTCTAGGGATTTCTCTGTAGAAATAGGGAGTGGGGGATCCCTGGGTGGCACAGCGGTTTGGCGCCTGCCTTTGGCCCAGGGCGCGATCCTGGAGACCCAGGATCGAATCCCACGTCAGGCTCCCGGTGCATGGAGCCTGCTTCTCCATCTGCCTGTGTCTCTGCCTCTCTCTCTGTCTCTCTGTGACTATCGTAAATAAATAAAAATTAAAAAAAAATAAAAAAAATAAAAAGAAATAGGAAGTGGGATAGAAACCAGACTGGTGGCCAAGAAAGGGTAGAGTGTACTCTGTTGGGGGAAACCTCTGGAAGAAACGCCTTGGGCTGTGGCCTGTGTTTTAAGGCAGGGGCCTGTGAACCAATGTGGGGCAGTGGAAGAAGCACGGGACTTGGAGTCCTGGTTTCCAGAGAGCTTTAGCTTCTATTGATCAGTCCTGCCATTTACAAAATGAGCTCCAACATTCTACAGAAACCATCATTTGACATCGCCAGGACAACCCCACAGGACTCAAGCACTTGCCTTTGAAGAAATCAGATGGTCCTAAGGTGGGGTGGGCGGGGTGCCCCAAGTCACACTGTCCTATTGCAGCATTTATGTCATGCACAAGCCAAGAGTGGAGTACAGATCATGTCGGTATGAGGGAGCAGGAGACCTGAAAGCCCCTCTGATGGTGATGGTAAGGTTTAGGTGCTATGTCCCTATTATTGCTGCCTTAACAGGTGGTGGCCAGAGCCCCAACCTAGGGTTTGACTGCTCCTCTGTCTCTTTAAAGGGAGCATCTTTCTGGTGGCTCGGATGACATCTGTTACTGACATGTGTACCAGAACAAGGCACCTTGTGTGGCAGGGAGACTAATTTCAGCTGTCGTTCCAGCATGTTCTGAGCAGTGTGATGAAGGGCATTCCTGATTTGGAATCTTTGATATTTTTCCCTTCCTAACTTGTAGGTGTTTCCATAATTGGTCTCCTGGGAAGTGCAAATTAGTCTGATTTTTCCTTTTTCAGAGGCTTCCAGTTCAGGGGCACAAGTTGGAAATGTAAATGGAGCCTGATTTCATCGATAGGAGAGGCATGCTGGGTGCATTGCTCAGGGGGATGCCTCTGAGGGCGGGGGTCTGGCATCTACTCCTCCCCATCTCCCACAAACCTGTGCTAGAACCCTGACCTGTGGGGGCCTATCCCACAGAATGCCCCCAGGAAGGCGAGTCCTCCTCCTATAGTCCTTGCTTCCTGAAGCACACTGGGCTCACTCCCAGCAAGGCCAGACTTCTCCAGACTTGGGTCATAGCCTCTGCTCTTCTTCCTGTCAGGAGCCTGATTCTTCATCTAGGGATGTTCTCAGTCTTTGTGTGGAATGAGACTGAAGGCAGGGGACAAAAGAATGTTCCAGATGTGATAAGAGCATTGGAAAAGACCCAACAGTTAGAACAGGATGCTTGAAGCATATGGAAAGAGACCCAACTACAGGAGCAAGTCTGGGAGGAAGGGGAAAAACATGAAATCTCCCAAGGCAGGGTTCTGGAGAAAGGAATGTTTGTCTTATAGGGTTAGCTTGTCAGACAGCTGAAGACTAAAGACGGTCTGAACAGAGAACCAGACTTGGAAGCCATCTTCCAAGGGGACCTGATTCAAATCCTCCAGGAGGAAAAACTTGAAGCCTCCAGGGGGAACAAGTCCTCTTCCCAAGATCACATAGCTGATCAGTGGCAGAGCCAAGATGAAGATCCAGGACTCCACAGGGCATATGGGTGGCTCATGGGTGAGCATCTGCCTTCAGCTCAGGATGTGACCCCGGGATCCTGGGATCGAGTCTCACGTCGGGTTCCCCACAGGGAGCCTGCTTCTCCCTCTGCCTATGTCTGCCTCTTTCTGTGTCCCTCATGAATAAATAAAATCTTGAGGAAAAAAAAAAGATCCAGAACTTCTGATGTTCCACTGAACCTTAGCAACCTCCCCTGCCTGTACCAACCCATGCCTACCCCTCAGAATGGGCACATGTCCTCACTGCTCGCTGGGTGCTGAGGACATATAATTCAATATGCTTAGGGGATACTGTGGAATGGTACAAAAGGGGCATGTAGGGGAGCCAATATAGCACTAAATATCAGCTGAGGGGCTGTGGACAAGCCTCTTAGCCTCTTGGGCCTCAGTTTCCTGATCTGCCCATTGAGCTGATAACAGTACTTCCCTCCCAGGGTTGTGTGAAGATAGATTGAAATGATGACTATAAAAGCCCATGGTAAATATGCAAATCATATTAATCTATTTTCAAATGCAAAGAATATATTTTCAAATTAATATGTAATTTTAAATATGCAGACCACACTAATATACTTTCAAATACAAATAATATATTTTCAAATACACAGACTTATCACTGTGGCTCAACGGTACACAGTAGTCTCACAACGGATTTATTTTTTGCTTGAGTGATTCAAGCAAAAGGTAGAAGCTAAAAGGTCAGTATGCCCTTGGCTCTTATGACCCATTCCAATGCAATGAGCAGCCCTGGGTGAAGGGAGCAAAGGCTTCTATCTGAATAAAATATTACTCGAGTGTGGGAACACATTAAGCCATGATCATCTATTAATGGCTGAGCCTAATGAGCTTCCACGATGAAATCCAGCTGTCACCCAGCAGGCCTGGAATGCAGAATGGGGAAGATGTGATAATAAAAGGAGCCACCCAGAGCACTGTCCTCCCCTCTACACAGACACACACACACACAAACACACACACACACACACACACACACACACGCAGAGCAGCAGGGCAGGAACCTGCTGGCCCCAGGGGAGGCGGGCTTTGTGGTGTCTCAGTGTGCACCTCAGGAGGAGCCTGAAAACTCAGGGCCCTGCTGAAAATGGAGGAAAAAAGATAGAAAGGGGATGGGTTCAGAGGGGAACATAGAGCCTATCTTTGCCACTGCAGTTCCCCTCAGGCTGGACAAAGCAAGTGATCAGTGGTTCTACTCTGTGTGGGATGAGCTCGGCGTCTGGCACAGTGTGGGAGGTGGACTTGACCTTGCCCCTTCAGCCTCACTGGGGAATAAGAGGCATGGGCCCCTACCAGCCTGACCCCACAGCCACTCCCACTGGGCTCCCAGTCCCTTCCTGGGCCCCCTTCCCACACCCTCCCTTCCCAGAGGGGGCCCCTCTGAGAACTCACCCACAGTGGCTGCCAAGCCTGGGGCAAACCGGTCCTCGCAGAATCTCCTTAGGAAGGACGTCTTCCCCACAGCAGAATTCCCCACTAACACAATTTTGAAGAGCCGGTCTGGGATGGAGAGAGGGGCTTCCTCCTGCGGACAGCACCCAGTCTGGCCAACTGCTGGCACGCTCACCCACCCATCCTCCCACTGCAACCTGTCCTTTAACCAATCCCTGCGGTGTCCAGGGGCAGGTGACCACCTGGCCTACTGACTAGCAGGAGTCTGGGATGCAAGTAGCTTTGGGCTCTGGGCACAAAGGCTCCTTCTAGCATCAGCAGGAGGGAAGAGAGACACTCATTCTGCCACTTGTCATCTGCCTGCTTTGTTGCAGGCCCTGGGCTGGGTGTGAAGACACAGGGACAAGGGGGCAGGTCTGGTTTGTGTGGACAAAAGGAGGCAGCCATGGAAACAAATCCTTGCAACGCAAGCTTCCAAGTGCTCCAGGAGCTGGGATGAGGAGTCCGGGGCCCACAGGAAAGGACATTTTGAGCTGGGCTCAAAGAAGAGGCAGAGATTCTCCATGCAGGGGAAGGACAGGTGAGATATTTGCAGGGGAAGAGGGAGATGGGAAGAAGACACATGTATATCACAGGGACAGAGACGGCCCAGGGTGGTCCAGGGGACCTTTATTTCTGTCCTGTCATTGAAAGCCTGGACCAAATGGAGGATGCTCTTGCCTCCCTGCACCATGCTCGTCCTTCCATCTCATCAGCTTCCATTTAGGATCCCATCTGCCTGAGAAAGGATTTCCACTCAGTAAGCTGGGAAATCTGCTACCCAGACCACTGGGCGGAGCTTTCCAGAGTCCACGGGTCACCGCGCTCCTTTTCTTTTGCCCATCAGCCGGCAGGGACTGGGAGCAGTGCTAGGACACTGGGGAGGATGGACTTGCTCTAGGACAGCCTGGAGTGCTAGGGTGAGGAGCTGCCTTGCACGATCATTGTCTTCATCATTGCCTCCTGTAAGCTGCTTGTTTGCTCACCCAAATCCTGCCTCCAGGTCCAGCCCAGCACTGCCTGGCCAAATGAGGAAGATCTTTTGAATATATTTAGAAGCGGATTTGGGGGAATTAGCTCCTCTCATTGAGCAAATACTATAATGGAGTGGCAGCAGATATTAGCAGTACTTGAGTCTCAAAGAAAAGCCATTAACAGCCTTTTGGGGAGAAATCAATTCCATGCAGTACTTAGGAGGGAATTCAAGGTCAATTATGGGAGTTTCAACTAAACTTAAAAAAAAAGAAACAACCCACACTCACAAACTATGCCCTCCACTTGGTTTTCTTTATTCTTCCAATGCGTAAGGCATAGACTCAGCTGGTCCCTGCATAGCCTCTGCTCCAGCTATCATTTGTTGGAGACTAAAGCTCAGTGCAGCAATCTGTGTATCCCTAGGCATGTCTACAGGTATGGAATGTGAAGCCCAGAGCAGGACAAGATGGTTCTTTCTGCAGAGGCTATGCTGGTCCTGCTCTAGGAAAAGCAGCGGGTTTTTTTGTTTTTGTTTTTGTTTTGTTTTGTTTTGTTTTGTTTTTGCAGACCAAAGGAGATGAATGCATTGATGCTCCAGCTCTGGGCAGGACCCACCTGACAGTCATGTTCACTCATATAACCTGTGTCCCCTCTGGGGGACAATCTGTAGTGTGACAACCAGACTGGTGGGGGGCGGGGGGGAGGAATGGAGTAAGATCTGTTCTCATTCTCTGTCTTGCCACTGAAAAAAAAAGCTTTAAGAAAATAAAAGTAATGCATGCTAATTTTTAAAACTAGGAAAAACAGAAATGTAGAGAAGAAAACAATAATTATTCATAATTACCCTGTCACCAGGAAATGGTCACTATTCATATTTGAATGCATTTCTTCCAGGCTTTTTTCTATATAGATGGATGAATATATATTTTATTTAAAACAATTATAGACATTTATTCTACTTTCTCATATATTATTAAATTATAAATATTTCTGAGTTACTCAAGTTTCTTAAAAATGTGATTTCTTTTTAGATTTTATTTATTTATTTGAAAGAGAGAGAGAGCTGAGGACAAGCTGAGAGGGGGCAGAAGGAGAGGGAGAAGCAGATTCCCTGCTGAGTGCAGAGCTGGACTCTGGGCTTGATCCCAGGATGCTGAGATCATGACCTGAGCTGAAGGCTGACACTCAACTGACTAAGCTACCTAAGGTGTGCCTTGAAAATGTGATTTTTAACAGTGCTATGATATTCTATTGGATTTTTCAAGTGTTTGCTAATATACATAACCATTTTTGAATTAAATCTTTGTCTGAATTTGATTATTAGGAAAAATTGCTAGGAGTAGAAGTGCTGGTTCAAAGAATGTAGAATTTCTAAGTCCTTGATTCCTGTCAAGGAATCCTTCCTTTTTTCCAGAAAGCTTGTACTGATTTATGCTTCAGCAGCCTGGCATGGAAGGGCCTGCCTCATAGCACTCTTCCAAAGAGTAGACCCTCTGTTGAAGCTGCTATGTGACTTCTTAGAGAGCATATTTCCTCTCTGCTGCAGCTGCCATCCCAGACTGGATGGTAGCACCCCTCGTGGAGCCAGCACCCAAATGAGAGCACATGGAAAGAAGATGGGCTCATGTTCCTTGGGGGCTGGACCAGGCCTCACACCCTGGGCTTCTACTTCCCAGGGGAATAGACATTTCTGATGTGCCCCATCAAATCACATGGCCCAGCACACACAGATGCTTAGTTTTTCCCTTTATTCCATCCCCTCCCTCTTGATACTTTTACCTTTGGAGCATAGTGTGGGGTATTTAAAACCCCAGTGTGCCCCTTGCCTCCAAGTGTAGGTCTGTGCTGAGGGGGATGTGGGAGGGTATGTGGAAGGGAAGGGCTGCTACCCACCTCTGGGGCCATCCAACTCTCACTCTCCCCCTGGCCCAAGGCCCTTTGGAGAAGGGATACATATGCACAGATCTTAACCCAGTACCCAAAATGACAACCAATGCCAAGAAGTCCCTGCAGTGGTTGTAAAGCTTTCCTGGCAAACATGCTAATATGGCCCTTGGAAATGGTCAAGTGGCAATGGCTCAGTCCTAGAGAGTTGCCCCAGTGTACAGGGAAGAGCCTCTTTCACATTGTCATGGACATTTCTGTAGCCTTTTAGAAAGTCAAGTAGGAGGTAAAGGGTTTGTGGAGTCTATTCCTGGGTCACAAGTGAGATGAGGAACATCATCTCCATGAACCAGAGGAAGATGCTTATTATGGCCTCCTTATCCTACAGAATTGACCAAGAAGCCCTGGTAGGGAGTACAGCAGGGAGGTAGAAGAGAGGAGGATCACCCTGAAGGGAGGGATAAGCAGGGCACTTGGGAATGAAAGGAAGATTAGCTGATTGGGAACCTAGAGAAAAATGATGGTACACAAACTTTACAAAGCAATGATTGGTTTTGCTGAGAACAGTTACAAAATATAAGGGAAGATGTGCAATTTTGAAAGTATGTGATGTTTTATGCTAAGAGCCAAGCAGAGTGTCTGTCTAAAGTAGTTATTCAGTAAATGCTTTTGAATCTGAATCAGAAAAGAGAACATAGGGTAGGGAATAGGGCAAACAACAGAAGTTATAAAGAGAATTTACTAGGACCCCTGAGTCTCCCCAGTGACCCTCAGTCCAATAGAGCAAGCTGGTATCTGAAGGACACAAATATGGTGATTCATGAGACCAGACACATCTGACTTCCTGAGATGCCTTTGGGGCTCTTGGGTTTAAATGCAATGGACAGGCATAAGAGTGGCACCTACAAACCAACACAGGATGTGTCCTTACTTTAGACAAGGCTTCTTTTCCAACAGGTTGCCCACGAGGAGATGTAGGCATGGGTTCCAAAGGTCTGGTCTGCTGGCTTTGTCCTTGCACCCTCTGCTGGGAGACCTCTTCCTCTTCTGGACATTTGCTCAATGGCTGCTCGAAACTGCCATCCAGGAGCTGGGGAAGGGGGTCTTCTTCAATGGAGATGATTCTGCGGAATGTCCGGGGGAATGGACCCCCAGCCCCTGGCTCCTCTTCTGGAAAGGGATATCCACTCAAGCCTAGGGAGCTTCTCCTCCTGGAGAGGCCAAATACATCTTCTTCCTCCTCTGACTGGCTATTTTGGAGTAGAGAAGAAAGAGAAATGGGGAGAATATAATAACATATATCAATATGGAAACTGGAGAGATGCCTGATAGCTCTGTGACAAACAACTAACTGAAGAGCATCAAACCTTAGGGACAGAGAGCTCCAGGAAAGGAAAAGAAAACCAAACAGATCCAACATTCTTTAGTCCATTCACCCAATACACTTCTGTAAGTGCTTAATGAATATGAATGTAATAAGGTAGTGGCGATGATAATGGTGAAGGTGGTGGTGATGATGATGGAGGTGGTGTGATGCTGATGAAGGCAGTGGTGATGAAGGCAATGGTGATGATGATGATGAAGGTGGTGTTGATGATGAAGTTGGTGGTGACGATAATGATGGTGATGATGATGATGGAGGTGTTGTGAGGATGATGAGCGCCAGGTATTTAGCTAATGACACAGTCATGCACAGATGAACACAACCCCATCCTCATGGAATGTTCAGCTAGTGGGGGGCTGAAGCAGTAATGGCACAACTATATACACTTCAACAAGCTGTGAGAAGTGCCAAAAAGGAGGAGTAAAGGATATAAAGAAAGGAGCATAAAAGATCTGGAAATAAAGCATCTTTAGTTAATAATCAGGTGACCTTGGCTGTAGTCCTGACATCAGCCCTTACTGACCGTGACACTAAAGAAAACACTTCAACTCTTCCAGCCTCAGTTTCCTCACCATGGAATGTGGCTCATCTGCCTTGCCTATCTCAGTAATAAGACAATGCATAAAAACAGATGTCTTCACAAAATAGTCCTCAGCAAAATGAGCGAGGAGGTGTTGCTGCTCTGTGAGGAGCCCCCACCACTGGCTCAGAAGCAACTGCCCATTTGTGGATGGGCTTTGGGTTTCAAGTAAGTCAGGCAGGGCCCCTCTACCTGCCTTTCCTACCTTTCTCTTTCAATGACCCTGCTAGTCAGTGTCCGGAATAAGTGGCCTCAGAGGCCTACATGCATATTTGCTTCCAGAAGCATCAAGAACAAGGGAAAGCAGTAGGAGGTAGAGGGAATTGGGCAACCAGATATGAGCCAATGCACAGGCTGTATTTTCAGGTTTTGAGAGCAAAGGCCTCACTTCCTGGCACAGGAAGTCAAGTCTCTGTGAATAAACAGTTAAAGCTGAGAAGGGTTTTAAATGGAAATCTGGCAGGGAGAACCTTAAGTCCAAAAGTGAAACACACATGCACACACACGCATGCAAGGATTAGAAAAAAAAAAAAAACCGGAATGCAAATTAGGTGAGCAGGTGACAGGGCCAAAGGAGAAAGAAGATAGATGAGGGTCACATGATATGAAAAACAGTGAAGCTCCTTTCATTTTGCCCCCTGGCTTATAAAAGTTATTATTCCTAAGAACCAATAATAGGAAGGGAAAAGAAAAAACTGCACGTATCATTGTTCTGAAGTCAAGTGCAACTCTGAAAGATAAGAGAGTGCTTGCTCACAAAAACGGTGACTTAATTTGGGTCCCTTGATACAAAATAAAGAATTTTGTAGCAATTCAGGGACCTTCTCATTTATTTATAAAATCATAGTTTTTAATAGAAGCTGACTGTCCTCTTTCCAACAAATTTCTTCTATAGTCTAACAAGCCTACTGATGGCTTATTCACTTTAGAACACAATTAGTATTCCTATCCATTTTCACTCTGCTGGCACACACGAGTACATGCATGTGTGCATATGCAAGCAAGTGTGCCCATACACACACAGCATGTTGTTCGGAAGGCCTTGCAACCAGAAAAAAAAAATGACTAGGGAAACAGCCCTAAAATGAAGCATTTCTTGGAAAATGCTTTTGATTTGGGAAATTCTCAAACACTACTGACATCCTGTAATACTCTCAGTTTAGCACGACTAAATTCATTTTTGGTTTTGCCACCAAGGGCTATGTATGAGCAGCAGACAGTGGTGGTCTCTGCCAAAGTCTGTATTGGAATTTGGGGTGCATGATTTGTTACTTATCTGATTACTGTTTCTTTTTCTTTTACTCAACCCTAAGCTCCATGAAAGCTAGGGTCTATTTAGCTCACCACTCTAGCACAGAGCATAATATCTTGCCCATAGTAGGCACTCAATATGGATATGGCAGGATTCGTGTTTAGTTTTGGAGTCTTCACAGAACTGAAAAGAATGTCGGTTACACAGCAAGCAATCAGTGAATGTCTATTGAATGAATATATTCAGCGCTGAGCAACCAACAGGCCAACTATTATTGCAAAAACTTGGATCCCAAGTTGTATCCCTTTGCTGAGCTATTTAGAAAAGGGATTGAGGATAATTGGGTCCAAAGATTTGACCAAGGTGCTTGTCAGGGTCTCCAAAGTCACTTCCCTTTTTTGTATTGTGTATTTCATGCTGCTGTCCTCAGGGTCTCCTGGATGAGCAAATTCGTGAACTTTCTCCCTACCTTTGATATTTAGGGGTCTGGTTGCCTTTGCCTTTTTGTGGCCGTCTATGTGGATGGAACACATGCCAAAAAAGAAGAGAGGGCAGAGGACTGGCTTGTCTCTCGCAATGTGCAACGAGCCACTCCTCTCGGGACTCAAACTCGATTATTGTGCTGTCTAATCGCAACCAAAAATGTTATCTATGAGGTAACATTAAATATGAAGTATTGAGAGGAATCTGTCAAGCACGGGCCCCATTCCTGTGTGCAAAGGAGCTCAACTATTGGAGACACCATGCCACACTTTAATTACCCTTCAGAGCCAAAATGTCATGTCCCCAAAAAACCAAGTGCATCCATTCTGCTTGACAGAGAGCAGACTATCTTCCAGCCACGTTCCACCTCTCTCCCTTGACACCTTTCATCTCCCTTCTTTCTCTACTCTTCTAATTTCCGGCACCTCTTTGGTTCCTATCTGCAGGCACATACTAGAAGACAATGTCCTGTCCTAGAGACCTGCTCTGCACAGTCCTCCTGACACCGGGATGTCAGAACAGGAAGGGGCATCCTCTGAGATTCAAGGGGAGTGAGTGCAACTGGCTCTGGGCTTCCCCACTGGGGCCACTTCTTGAGAGCCAACCTATGGGCTCAGAGCCATCTCCCAGTAGGTGCAAGACAAAGGAACACATAATAAATGAAGAAATCCAGGATGACTTACCTCCTAAGAATCCCTCTGCCATCCACATATTTGCCTATCACAGAGCCAGATCTCTGTTTCCAGTTTGCTTTGGAAGCAGCTGTGTTTGCCTTGGCCGCCTTATCTTTCTGTAGAAACACAAAGTGCCCTCAGATCCACACCTGCTGATTTGTCCTACTGTGGAGCCCCAAAAGGGCTCCACTTTCCCCCTTCACAGGTCAGGTTCTAAACAAAATTCCAAAATAAGAAGTTTTGGTTTTGGCTTCTCAGTCCAAGACGGCTTTCACTTAGTTTGGTTGGGATCTAAAAAAAACCAAAAAACAAACAAACAAAAAAAAAACCAAAAAAACAAAACAAACAAACAAAAAAAAAACCTGCAACCAATGCCATCCTCCAACACTGCCTTTTATTGCCAGGATCTTGCCAAGTTGTAAGGGAGCTCTTCCACCTGAACAAGTTAGAGACCCACACACCAAGCTCTAAAGTACAACTGATTTCTCTTGCTGTGGGAAACAGCTCTCTGAAAGGCCTTGAGGATCCCACAAAAGCGAAGTACAGCAAAAGCAAAGGCTTTCTTTCTCATTTTGAAAGCTGCTCATATAACCATATCTGGCATAAAGAAAAAAAAATAGAACTTACAGCTCACACTGGGCCGTACAATCAGTAGAAAGGCCCCAGCATCGACCCCCTGGTCCTTCCCTGGCACATCTGAAAGCTAGCTCCTCCCGCAAGGCCCCCTATTGGCTTGAATCATTTGCCTGTTCGGTTTGCAGGGTCTCCTCTACAGGGAGAGTTCTGGAAATTATTAGCCCTCCCTCAACTGTACTTGGGGTTACATAATTTAAAAAAAATAGACATAGACAGCTATGATAATCAGTGCACGAGAGTATAAAATACTATTTTAAACAAGGAAATTGTTAATATAAAATGCCAAATGATTAAAAAATAGAGACCTCTCTGTATAATAAATTATATTTTCCTTACCTTGTCGATGTATTTGAAGTTTACTTAAGGTCAGGAAACTGATTCTTAAACAAGTTTTCTGGCCTTATTATTTGATTTATATCTTTTTAATTTACTGACCAAAGTATATTTTAGCTTTCAGTGCAGTAGTCATGGGTGGTAACCATGCAGTCAAGTATTGTTACCAGTACTATCATTGAGCTGTATTTAAAATTTTAGTACAATATATTAAATGGAACAGAGGTTAATATTCAGGTACTAATTACAACTAGTCTGGCCTTGTTGGCAGTTAAATCTTATTTTGAATTGCAAATTGGTTAAATTCTATGTGGAGTTTGCTGAGAAGAGAATGAAGACTACTGAAATGCCATTTTAGTTGTTTTCTGACCATAACCACAATGTACTAATGAATCTGTGTTAAAAAGACTATTTTAGATGTATTTCCTGCTTTTGTAAGCATTAAAGATTTATAAGAAGATTATTCAAACTGTTTTTTATAAAATGAAAGCTATGATTTTTAATTTAACGGTTCCCCTGCCCTCCTTTTTTGGAAGATACTCTGATTCCTTGTTAACTTTTACCCTAAAGCTTACATATGTTTTTTCTCATATGTGCTTCATGACATACAGGCAGCTCATGAAGGGATCTAATTTAATTTAGTGTTGTATGTACGTTCATGGCAAAGTTTTGAAAATAAAAAATGTGTTTCTTCAAAAAAAATTTTTTTTAAAGGCAAGCTCTATGCTAGAGGTGCTTGCACCTTCCGTAGAGTTTCTTTTTATTTCTTTTTTAAAATTTTTTAAAAGATTTTATTTTATTTATTCATGAGAGATGAGAGACAGAGACACAGGCAGAGGAGGAAGCAGGCTCCATGCATGGAGCCCGATGTGGGACTTGATCCCGGGACTCCAAGCATCACTCCAGCACCGGGGCCGGGCCGAAGGTAGGTGCTAAACCGCTGAGCCACCCAGGGATCCCCAACTCAGGTTTCTACCCAAGGTCTATACTGCAGGTCTCCCTCAGGAGCCTATAGCCTGTGACCCTACTAAGCAACTTGATTTTTGAAATGAATGTTCACTTAATATTACTGAAGTATGCCTAGTAGTCCCATTGATCTACTTCTTGCTTCCAACAGTGTTGGGATGGAACAGACCCAGGGACACCCTTTTTTCCAGCCTCTGGCCACCCCTCTAACCTCTTTTCTAGTTGCCATAAGAGCTATTTCTCAGCTATCCTCGGCCTCTGAAACCAGTTAAGTTTTTTGAGCTTCGCTCCTTATTACCAGTTAACCATGATTGTCAGAATTATTCCACCAAGGTGGAAGCAGCCATTAACTACCTGGTCAACTTGTACCTGTAGGCCCTCCTGCACCTCCTCTCTATGTATTTCTGTTCCAACCATGAAGACATGGCTCAAAGGGTGTGGGCCACTTTTCTCATGAGTTGGTCAAGGAGAAGTTGAAGGGTCCTGAGTATCTCTTGAAGATGCAAGAGCATTGTGGCCACACCCTTTTCCAGGACTTTTTTTTTTTTTTTATAAATACAATCTCTTTACCTTTATCAAGAATAAGAAAATTTAATCATAATGTGATTTAGAAGTAACAAGTGAATTGGGAGATGTTAACAAGGGTTCATTGTGTGTTTCCAGATATGTTTTGTGTGCATGCATTTCTATCTACAAGTATCACTGAGCTTTTAACAATAAGTTAATGTCACACAGTGTGGTAGATGTATCTCTGAGCTTAAGAAAACACTTTTAACAGTATTTACCATATGTTTATATGAAGAAATGTAGAAAAATTATGGTACTGAATTTAAATGAACATCTACTTTATAAATAGGCTAGCTTGACTGGACGAAGTTTATTTGACTTCTTACATCCAAAGGATGTTGCCAAAGTAAAGGAGCAACTTTCTTCTTCTGATATTTCACCAAGAGAGAAGCTGATCGATGCCAAAAATAAGTGCTCATTTCAGCATGCCTGTTCTCTTGCCTCCTCCTGCTATGAAAGCTGTTTTGCAAGTTCATGGTAACTTTCACAGTGGAAGGACTCACGTGTATTCTGGCTCAAGGCAATCCTTTTTTTGTCGGATGAAAAGTTGTAAAATCTCATTCTAAAGGCTAGGAAGTCCAAGATGGAGGTGCCAGCTGGTCTCCTTGTGAGCATTCTCTTACTTTTTACCTTTGCTATGTCTTCTCCTCAGGATCCCTCCATCTCCCACCCAATATTCCAATGCAATGATTCAATACACAGTTTAGAGACTGGAGTCCACCCCGTTACCCTTCACAGGAGTACTGACGATTTGCAAGATGACAAGGAGAAGAGATTACGTGGAATGCATAGGGAAGTATTTATGGGCAGAAACAACTGTGCATCTTTAAAACACACTCCTTGGTTTGGCTCCAACTCCTCTCTATTTCCAAAGCCCCAGAGATGAGAAAGGGACCAGCTCAGGGGATCGATTAGGCCAGTGCCCTGCAGTGAGTGGGGGCTTGCAGCCCTGCTCACAATGTTCCCCAGCAGATGTCTTCCAGGATATGAGGGGGAGTTAGATCACAGGAAGAATCTTTCATTAACCAATCATCCCCCACAATTCCCAGTGATTCTTAATGAGAGAAGGAGGGGCTGCAGTGCTCCCAGGGCCCCTGAAGGTATGGCTATAATGATTCCAAATTAATCTTTAATTATTATCCAGCATGAACATGATTTTATCCCTCTTTCTTCTATTCCCCACTAGGGTTCTTAATTCCATTCCCTTTTCAAAGCAAAATGAGTTTGGCAGGTGAAAGGAAGTGAGGCCAAGGAATTAGGGTGACATTTGGTTTTAAGTTTTAAAATAAATTCAGTGTTACTTCTAAAACAATTATAACTATTATCATCATCAAACAAACGTGTAGGCTTAAGTGTTGCTCTGATAGTACATAGAGGTGGGCGGTAGAGAAGTTTGCTGCCAATCAGTGACAGGAAAGAAATAGGGGTATAACAAGGTTCCCCCCAGGGATTTGCAGTTGTAAACCAGGCCAGACCTAATTCATAGCAAACCACCCACCTTATGCTGACCACATTCAGGCCACTGTCCAGCTCAGAGCCCAGAGACCATGACCCTCCTCTTTCCAAGAGTTTTTCTAAAAAATCCCTATAATATGGAGAAAAGGATAGGAATTCCCTTTCCTCATGTGAGAGTTGGGATCATGGTTGGGGAAGCTAATGATTTTCCCAGGACATATGGGAAATTCACCATGTGCTAGATCCTGATGATTAGGAAGTTACATCAGTGAGTCCTGCCCTCCTTTTCCTTCCCTTCAGACCAACCAGTGACTCCTATCTAAAGAGGAGGATGAGTAGGAGAGCATGGAATCTTGGATTTTGTTCAATGTGGCTCAAAGTGAAGACCTATTATAAATTGATATGGCACTCTGTGGTATTTGGGAGAGTATGTAAGTTCAGGTATAGAGGAGCAGGGGTCCCCATAGGGTAAAATATATGTATTTAAAATCAACTATGTTAATAGTGAAATATACATTTTTAATTCATTCTATGATGGTATAAGAATGCAAAATATTCATCAAGAGATAAAAATTTTAATGAAGAAAAGAAAAACCTGTGAGCATTTTCATTAAAAGTGATCATGACATTTCAACTGTGCCATCTCCTGGCTTTCCATGTCCAGGAAATCTGTGATCCTCCCAAATATTTTAGTCTCTGTATGCCAAGAGGAAAGTGTGTTACTTCATAGAAAATTCACACACTGCTACTCAGTAGGCCACCCTGTGCATTTTTATTATTAAAAAAAAATCCATGCCATTGTCTGCTCACACAGAAAGATGAGCCTGATGTCATGGACATTCTTGGGCCTGTCCCAGCATGGGCTCTGACTACCAGTGAACCCAAATGCTGTCGGGAAAAGGATCACAGAGCAATTACCTGAAAATGTATGTCCCGTTCATCCCGAAGGTGCTTGTTTCTTTCCCTGCAGATGGAAAAAGGGAATCTATTCAGACACAGCGTTTGCAGTGAATAAAGCCAATAGCAGCCAGTTTGCCAGTGAGAGAGGTGCAGAGAAAAGCTTGACGTGGAAGGCGCAGTGAGTGTAGAATGTCTTTCCTTAGGGATTATGACAGAGGTTAGTTTGTCAAGCTGTAAGTCAGTTGGAGGCAGGGAGTAAACAGAGTGGCCCTTCAGGATCCTGCACTTCAGGATCAGGGGGTGACCAGGAATTCCAGCTGCACCTGTGAACTTGTTATTGGGTGCTTGCACTCTCTCTGGACCATTCATTTCATGCATGCATGCAGTCACTCAACAACTGTCTCCTGAGCACCCATTCCATGCTAAGCAGGGTTCTAGCTATCAAGGTTACAACCAACAAATAAAAGAAAAAGTTCCTGTCCTTGGGAAATTTTATTTTAATGCAGAGGTAATTGCTATTGAGAGAGATAAACCAGGGACTAGAAAAGAGTGTCTGAGGGTGCAGTGGTGTTTCAGCAGGGCATTCAGGGAGACAGCATCTGAGGCTTGAAGAGGAGAGGGGAGCGATGCTGGTATTTGAGCTTGGAAGAGCTTCACAGGCAGAGGAGACAGCAAGGGCAAAGCCTGGAATCAGGCTCTCTTGGATGTGTGTGAGGAGCAGAAGGGAGGGCATAAGAGTGCTCAGAGGAGAGCCATTAGGATATGACATCAGAGAAAGGTGCAGGGACAAGTAGAGACCTGACCATTCGTGGTCTTGTGGGCCATTGTAGGAACTTGGGATTTTACTCCAAATGAAACATGAGGCCATGGGGGGGGGGGGAGTGGCAGCAGAGTGTCCTGATCTGACTCACGTTTTATACAGAGCCCTATATAGTACAGATGCTGGGCTAAGAATACACTACTGGACACAAGAGTGAGGCCCTGAGAACTGACCACTCTTTTAGGCAACATGGAGGTCACTGGTTTCACTTCCAGTGCAATCGAGGTAGAAGGAGCCTGACTAGTGCGTCAAGAGGGAGGAAAAGAATGGAGACAGAATGCAAACATAAGCAATTCTTTTGAAAGCCATTAAAAAGATGAGAAGTGGCTGGATGGGGAAGTGGTGACAGGAGATACCAGGTAAGAGATGTCAAAGGGACACAACTGACCATGGAGGAGAGAGAACGCATGCTGGAATAGTCCTCGACAAAGGTGAGATATTCCAGTGCACGGCTGGGAGCCAGCTTTATGGGGCAATGGTCCACCACGCTGGAGAAGGCGAGAGGTGGATGCGGATGGGCATGGGGGATGTGCTCACGTGGCGGTTGTGCCTGTCTCCTTCCAGGGCACCCCTGGTTCTGTAAGCAGGCTAGCAGCCTTGCACCTGGGTGAAGGCTCAAGGGCTCTGGGAAGCCCCGTCTCTATCAGGGAGTATGCTGTGCTGTCTCCTGCTTCGTGCAGCCATCTCCGTGCATATAGTCACTCATACACATCATCTGATTCTCAAAAGAAGCCTGGGAGGCAGGTATGAGAAAATTAACACTCCCAAGTAAATTGCCCAAGGTTACAGAAGGTCATAAGGGGCAGTGCTAGGTTCCAAAGCACATGTTCCTAAGTGTCCTGAAATTGTTTCCATTTGCCCCTTCCTCAGCCCGTCACATCCCAGCCACTGTCCTGATTCCACCTGCTTCCTCCCCTCAATCTCAACTCCACATTCTTGCTAGCCCTTGCCCAGCATTTGCTCTCTCCTTGACTCAGTTTCCCCATGCTCTCTGTCACTACCCAGTGATTTCACTGTGGAGGAAAAATCTGCCATGGGGGCCTTCTCCGTTGTATCTGGGCTGCCATTGGCTGCAGACTCGAAGCTTGTAAGCGAGCAATAGCACAGAAAGGCTTCAGGCATGTGATTCTGCACAGATGCTAGTCTCTGTCAAAAAGATCCATATGCAGAAAGCTGCCTTGTCATTCTCTTCTGCTCATTCGCTTTCAATCTTTCCTTTTCTTCTAAGTACAATAGAAAAAAGGGGGGAAAAACCCTCCAAAACGTGTCCTTGTTCTCTTCCTTCCACCAAAGCCTTCCTAAGAATCAAGATTGGCTCTCAAATGGATTAGAACTTGGCTACATCCAAACCCCATTCCATCCCCCCAGCCTGGGCAGCCCCGTTTGAATCATGTATTGAGTGAAGTAAGTCTGAAATGCATTCAGCTCGGAGCACTTTTCAATTGGGTAGCATCACAGATGCCAGACACGGTAACCTCACCTTGCTTTCAAATAAAACGAATTAAGAACCGGGACGCCTGGGTGGCTCAGTTGGTTAAGTATGTGACTCTGGAGTTCGGGTCAGATCATGATCTCAGGGTCCTGAGACTGAGCCCCATGTAGGCTCCATGCTCAGTGCAGAGACTGCTTGAGGATTCTCTCTCTTCCTTTGCCCCTCCCCCACTCAACCTCTAAATAAATAAATGAACAAACAAATAAATACTAAAAACAAGTCAGAGTGTCCCTGATTTAAGTCCACTCACTGCACTTTAAAAATCAGAACCCAGGGTGCCTGGGTGGCTCAGCAGGTTAAGCACTGGCCTTCGGCTCAGGTCATGATCGCAGGGTCCTGGGATAGAGCCCCGCTGAGCAGGGAGCCTGCTTATCCCTCTCCCTCTGCCACTCCCCCTGCTTGTGCTCTCTCGCTCTCTCTCTCTGCCAAATAAATAAATAAATCCTCAAAAAATAAATAAATGAAAAATAAAAATCAGAACCCAAAGTCCCCATGCCTCATCACCAGGCCCAAGAGGTGTCTGGCAGACAGAACATATTGCAACCTGGAAACCTCACAGGCAAAAGTGAAAAATCTCATCTTTCCACATACCAGTTTGGTTTGGGGTTTGGGGTGAGCACATCCCAGACCAATGAACTTTGAATTTCCAGTGAGTTTTAGCAAGCTGAGGAGACTCTAAATTCCTTTGTTCTGTTTGTGCTCTATTCATGATTCATTTACTCACTCAACAGACATTAAGAGAATATGGAAGAACCCAGAGAATCAGCCAGATATGGATCTCAATTCTGGCTCCCGCAGTGAGTAGCTGTGTCTCTTTTGGTAAATTGCTTCATTTCTCTGCTATCAATTTCCTCCTCTGTTAATTCCTCCATCAGCAACTGCCCTCCTCTCCTTAGTTTTGTTGAAGATGAAAGGGTGCTATATCCGCCCGAGGGTGGAAGCTCAAGAAATTCAGTTCCCTCCTATGGGAGCAAATACCACAGAAGGTGCTGTGAGAGAGCCACCAAGAACAAGGCCGAGCTACCTGCAGAGGCACAGACTGGAGAGGGATGTGAGTGTGTGTGAATGGACCACACACGAGCCGAATGAGGGCACTCTCCCAGCGGCTACGACTGCCCAGAACGTAGGCAGGGAAGACTCTCAGATTGGCCCTTCCCACCCAAGGCACCTGGGATGTGATCTCGGAACACACCAGTGCTCACGCACCTCAGGAAATCCAGCTGCTTCAGGAGTCCCGACTTCTCGCGCTGCAGGCTCTCTGTCACGCGGTACACTTCCCTGAGGAAGAGGCAAACACAGCATTGATGAGCTTGCATTCTAGGGGTGTAAGCTACCACGGCGTGAGGGGTTGTGCTGAAGTTAGATGCCTTGGACCCTCACCCTGGAACCCTGCAGGCAGTACCCCACACTGGGGACAGGAGAGGGTTTAGAGGAATACGCCTCCTCTGGGGAGCACCTGCTATGTGCAGGTGTTTTCAGCCATGAACTCACTTAATCAGCACGCATTCCCTATTTGGAAGGTGAAATGACCCCTTCCAATGGGGATCCAAATGATCCCTTATCATTTCATAGACAGAGATAGTCAAAGAGTCAGTAACTCTCCCCGCGTCACACAGACAATCCATAACTGAGCCAGGGTTCTAATCTAAATTAGGACCTCCAACTCCCAAACCCATGAACAGGGCTCCATAATAACTGCACTGCCTGCCCGGGCTCTAGTTGGTCCCATCCTACCCCGAATTCAGAGAATTAGAACCAATATTCTTCTCCAGTCCAATCTTGAGGGTGAGAGCAGAACTTGTATTTTTTTTTCCCCTGACGCTGATTTCATTTGTTTCCAGGAGCTCCAGAAGAATCCTTTCCCCTTCCCTATCTTCCTCTATAAGCCTCCAATCTGTTCCTAGATCTCTGGAGTTTCCACTGTTGGCTATTCATTTCTTTAACTTAGGATTTCTCATCTCTAGCCACAAGCAGAGATTAAATGTATCAATTATAATCAGATGCTTATATCATAGCATGAGCATGTCAATCATATCAGGAGTTTTGAGGAAGGGGAGGGAGAGGTTCAGAGCTAGGTGGGGTGTCTGGAGAGTAACTCAGAGGGTGAGCAGAGGTTGCTCTGGTTTGGTCTTTTTTTTTTTAAGATTTTATTTACTTATGGGGGTGGGGGCAGCGGGCAGAGGGAGAAGCAGGCTCCCTGCAGAGCAGAAGCCCAATACAGGACTTGATCCCAGGACTCCGGGATCATGACCTGAGCCAAAGGCAGCGGCTTAGCTGCTGAACCACCAAGGTGCCCCTGTATGCTCTGGTTTGTTTGTATCTCTACAGGGAACCAAGGGCCCACCCAGCATAAAGACAGAGTTAATAAATACCAGTAAGAAACAAAAGGAGAGTAGGGGAGGGAAGAAGGAAGGTGGGGATGGAGGAAGGAAGAGAGGAAGGAAGGGGTGAGTGGAGGAGAAAAAAAGAAAAAAGGAAAGCAGAACTGGATGACATTGGAGGATAAGCCTCGTTGAACTTCACAACTTTGCCTTCCTCCTTCCCTCTGTGCTTTGCACCATGGTTTAGAAATGATTAAATCGCCCCTAAGCTTACTGCAAAAGGCCTGAAGTTCCACATTTCCAAACCACAGCAGAGCTTCTAGTATAGGGAGCATCTTCCAGCCTCACAAACGTCCATTTCCCTAGGCTGTCCAGCTACCTGGATTGTGCACACACCCGGGCTGGGCAAGGACAGTCACTCATCTGCCGCTGCCCCCTCAATGCTATTTACTGAGCTGGCAAAAACAGCACCTGTTTGCTTAATCCATCCAGACTCGGGCCAAACCCACCATAATCAGATTCCTTAAAAGGTCTTTTCCCCTTTATAGAATAATTATAAAGTTCATCTACAACAATAACAGCCTGAATCAAATTCTAAGTTCACCTCAGACAATCCTAATTAAGCAACAAAACTTCTCTAGCTCCTGCAGAGCTTCAAATTCCTAACATTTTATTACCAATTATATTTAATTTCAACTTGAGGGAAAACAATGTATTTTCCATTATCCAAACCGGGTCCCCAAATCCCTGTGTCGGATTCTGCTGTGATTAGCAGTACGTGAGCGCGGCTGCCTGTGCTGCCGCTGTGCCCGGGGAGCCAGATGGCTCTGTGGTTCCTCCGTCCCAGCCCTGCGTTCTGATCCTCAACCAGAGGCAGACAGTTCCACAAAACTGAAAACCCTGCTGAGGAAAACCTCTCCTTGGAAATCTGAGGTCTGTGTTCTCACAGAATGTTTGATTTACGAGCCAATTTCTAAGAAACGAAGCATTCCAGGTGTTTGTCCTGTGCACATAGCACCAGTTGGCCTTGGAAGCCACACACACACACACACACTCACTCACTTACACACACTCACTCACTTACACACACATGTACTTACACATATATGCTACATACCTATGGGAATGCATGTCTACCTATTTGTCTAAATACAAATACATACATCCGTTTAGATATACACACATATTCAGACTTTTCATGTGTTAACAAAAACAAAGACATTCCTGAAAAACAAAATGACACTTGGATATTTGACCAAATGACCTTCTAACTAGACATCATACAGGTTTATACCTGGTAATGTGTGGACCAAAAAGGGAAAGAACTTGGTATTTTTCATAGGAGTGACTGCTGAGAGGTTTATGATTGTCTTTAGAGAAATGCTGTTGGCTTTGTCTTCTGGAGGGGGATGAGATAGGGAGCATCTCCAAAATATATTGTCAAGTGAAAGTGCAGGCTAATGCAGAACATCATGCTACCATTTCGTAAATGAAGGTTGTGTGTGTGTGTGTGCGTGCTTGTATTTGCATAGAACATTCTGGAAGGATCCACAAGAACCCAGGACTGATGACCTCTGCATGATCACAGGCCTGGAGTCATGGGAGGGGCAGGGGGCATCCAGGCCTCTTTTTGAGTGTATATCCCTTCGTGCCTTGTCATAAACTACCTACCCCCACATAAAAATTCATTAACAAGATAAAAAGAGGTACCGTTTTTCAGCTGACCTTCATCTTTATATTATCTCTCCTGTCTGATTGTTCTCTCTTTATCTTATTTTAAAATCAAGTTCTCCTTTCTTGAGCATCTTCAGAGAAAAGAAAAATTAATTCTGCCCATTCAGAATTCTAGCTGATAAATGACTAAGTCTTTTTATCTCCCAGTTGCATCCTCTCCCTTCCCAGCTGCTCTGGTGCAACATCAGGCAGCAAGATGTGGGAAGGAGCACATGCTATTGGGAGAACTAGGTTCTGTCCCTATTTTCTGACATTAATTAGCTGTGTGGCTTCGGGTCTGCTGCTGCAGCTCACCGAGCCTCAGTTTCCTAGTTTGTAAAAGGAAGGGGTGGATTAGGGTACTTGGGTTCTATCAGTACTGTTGGTCTGGGATTCGTTCTACAGAGAACAAGCTGAGGCTTTCACTGCCCTTGTCTCCTGACCTCCCTGGACAGGACACTCTCTCCTGGGCTCCAGGCACGCTTTCGGACTGCAGGAGACACTGCACGCCTTTTGAAAGCAGGTCATGGAGGTTCTGAAATCATTTATCTCTCCCTCCCAACCCTCTTTTCCAATTCCCAGCCTCCAGAGATTGTGTCTTTGGCTCGGTTAATTAAGATAAGACTTCAGAAAGATTCTTATCCTCATGCTGCGATGTGATACCCCAGCACTGGGTGTTTATTTCCATTTGCTGTTCTAATGCTTGTGCCTTCAGATGTTTGTTGTTTTAGAACTTGATTGAATTTTAAGAGCCTGAATCCTTAATTCTGTTGGTAAAGTTAAATGCCTTTGCCTTGTTGGCCTGCTCTCAATGAGGCGAACCGATTTTGCTTGTTGACAATGAAATACGCTGTCCTGCCACTGGTCATCCAAGAATTGGAGTGAAGGGATTTGTTTTGCTTTAAGTCAGCTACTAGGGAATACAAGGGTTTTGTTTTTTGTTTTTTGTTTTTCTTAACTAGAGAAATCTTACTAGGGTAAAACTCTACATGCAAACACATTTTCTTCGTCCTCCTCTTGCCCCTGGCCAATCAGTCTCAAGCAGTACAGCACAGCACATACAGAACAGACAGCAGAACAATGATTTAAGCCGATGGACCCAAATATTGTCAGCAGTCAGACGGAGGGACGGCTTTCCCTTCTGAACAAGGGAAGAGTTAACATTTGTAAAACTCAAGCACTGCTATGCAGTACTGCCCTCTGAAATCAGACTCTCTCTAATACCTGGCACAGGGCTAGGCACGTGTGACCTCCTGCAGCATGAATGAATGAGAGCATGAGCGAATAAGGAATGAACGATAGCTAGTCCTACTGTCTAGCTGGCTCATTACTCACTGTGGGGAGTCAGCCGGATGTGTCTAGCACTGAGCATCATGTGACAGTTACTTAAAACCCCTGACCCTCAGCTTCCTCTTCCAGAGAGTACATAATAATGGTACCTGCCCCATCAGGATGCTATCAAGTTCGTAGGGAATAATGTCAAATTATGGACATAGGGGTGATACACTGAATGCATAACACAGTAATCAGTGCAGAGCAGTGTTCAATGTATGTCTGACAAGTGACTAAGTAAACAAATATTCAGGGAAATGTGTGAACAAATAAACAAGTGAGGTCCTTGTCCTGGGCCTGCCAGGGAGTGCATTTGCTCTCAGAACCTGATGCTCCCAAGATGAGACAAATGTCTGGTCCCCAGGAATTCCTCAGGCTCAGCACACTGACCTAGCCCTTGATCCTGCCTCACACGTGCCTCTGCCTAGCAGGCCAAAAGCAGCTCACTGACAAACTGGGCCCTGAGAGATGCGGGCTTCCCTGCACTGGGCCCACCCAAAGGAGAAAGTGGGCAGACTGGAGTGAAGATTCCAGGGCACTGTCACATGCTCCATCAGATTCTTTTTTTTTCCTTTTTTAAAAATATTTTATGTTTATTTACTCATGAGAGACACAGAGAGAGGCAGAGGCAGAGACACAGGCAGAGGGAGAGGCAGGCTCCATGCGGGGAGCCCGATGCGGGACTCGATCCCAGACCCCGAGATCATGCCCTGAGCCGAAGGCAGATGCTCAACCACTGAGCCGCCCAGGTGTCCCAACACTCCATCAGATTCTATGCTGACCCTCAGGAGCCTACCTGCTTCACTCTTGTCCTGAGTCTCCCTGGTCTCTCAAACAGGACAGTTACCTCTCTCTCTTTCTCTCTCAAGCAAATACATTTTTTTAAAGTTTTTTAAAAATAAAATAAAAAGGGGTGTCTGGGTGGCTCAGTCAGTTGAGTGACTGACTCTTGGTTTCAGCTCAGGCTGTGATCTCGGGTTCCTGGGGTCAAGCCCCGCAATGGGCTCTGTGCTCAGTGGGGAGCCTGCTTCTCCCTCTCCCTATGCTCCTCCCCCTGCTCCCCCTGCTCATGTGTACATGCTTTCTCTGCCTCTCACATAAATAAATAAATCTTAAAAAAAAAAAAAACTCTGATAGTCACTTATGGTCCATCTGCTCACTCAGTCTTTTCTCAATTACTGCCTTATATTTGTTGGTTGAATAATGCGTCCTTCTAATTACATAATACATTTTCCAAGAATAGGGTTCTAGATTTCCTATGAATCTTAGATTATGCTTGCCACAGTACTGGTCTGCCTAATGGCCTCAGGATCCCAGAAGAGGTTTTCAGGGAGCAAGGAGCCCGCAAGCCCCACATGATAGGCAAGGCAACAGGGTCTCCAAGAGAGGAGAGAGCTCGCTCACAGGAAGGGGTGGGGCTGGCCAGCAGTGACAGGAGCTCTTGAAGGCCTACTCACATCTCCTTCTCCTGGTGGAGTTGGCAGGCCTCTTGTTGGAGGCTTTCCAGCTGCTGCTGGGCATCCTGTAGCTCCCGGGAGGTCCGCTCCAGCTCCCGAGCCAGCTCCTGGTTTGTGACTTTCAGCTTGGTATTCTCAGCCTTGGTTTCATGCTCATCATTTTGCAGCATGGTGCACTGGCCTTCCAGCTGGAAAGGAGAGTGGGGGAGCAGAAAGGAATGATAACCACCATCTAGACTGGCCTGTGTCCCGCAACTTCCCCTCAATTTCTCCACTTGGTGGGTGGGAGGCCCTTGCTGCCAGTCCTCGCTGTCCCTGAGCCTCAATAGGCTTTGTCCTGCTCCTTAATTCACAGGGATGCCCTTTTGGAGGCAGGGAGGAACTTTCAGAGTATATCTCATCTCTCCCCCGTCTCCACAGGGCTCCTGAACAGCCCGGAGGGAGCAGCACCATTCAAAGACAGCTAGGGAAGGAAGGTGAATGAGCCATCTGTGTCCCCCATCCCAGGGATGATCATGCTGATCATTATCATCTCATCCATGGTCTCAAAAGCTACAACCCAGCAATTGCACTACTGGGTATTTACCCCAAAGATGCAGATGTAGTGAAATGCTGGGATACCTGCACCGCAATGTTCATATCAGCAATGTCCACAATAGTCAAACCGTGGAAGGAGCCTTGGTGTCCATCGACAGATGAATGGATAAAGAAGATGTGGTTTGTGTATACAATGGAATATTACTCAGCCATTAGAAATGACGAATACCCACCATTTGCTTCAACGTGGATGGAACTGGAGGAGGGTATTATGCTGAGTGAAGTAAGTCAATCAGAGAAGGACAATCACCATATGGTTTCATTCATAGGGGTAATATAAGAAATAGTGAAAGGGATTATAGGGGAAAGAAGGGAAACTGAACAGGGAAAATTTAGAGAGGGAGACAAACCATGAGAGACTCCTAACTCTGGGAAACAAGCAAAGGGTTGCAGAAGGGGAGATGGGCAGGGGGTTGGGGTAACTGGGTAACAGACACTAAGGAGGGCACTTGACAGGATGAGCACTGGGTGTTATACTATATGTTGGCAAATAGAACTTAAATAAAAACAAATGAAAAAAATTAAAAATTAAGAATTAAAAATAAAAGAGACACCCTAAATCCCTCTTGTCTTTTCAGCCAATTGTCTCCCTCAGCCCTAATGGACACGGAAAGCAGCTAAGTGGCATTCTTCATAGAACCATCCTTCTCAGTTTTAAATGCTGACAGTTAATCTATTTATTCCCTTTTTTCTTCACTCAGCTAAATAAGTCCACTTCCTTTAAGCTAGAGAAACTTTGTATGGTGGCCAGAAACCCTGGAAATTCTTAAGAAATAGCTAAAACAGGTCAAACCAAACATATACCTTTTTTCATATCCCTAAAGCAACTAAAAAACCTGCATTTGCATAAGCGCAGCTTTTCTTGGCTGGTGGTTTGGTTCTGCTTTGCAGAGCTTCCAACCCTCTCACCAGAGGAGGACTCAAACCAAAGCAAATATATCATAATAAATTTAGTTTAATGAATGTGGCCAGTAAGAGGCGGAGGAAGCAGCAACAAGGAATTTTGTGTGATTCTCAAGAGGCTCCTGTGTAATCAGGCAAGCATGTAGTAATTAAATCGAGTGGCAATCATTCATTTGAGGGATAAGTCTAATTGGTAAGAATTTAATGCATAATAGTGATGAGAAGAAAGAGTAGGGGAAGGTATGGCTGTGGAAGGGGAATGGCAAGGCAGCTGGCAGTTTCTGGAGTTGAAATCATCTTGCTCGCAGAAGGAAGAAGTCAAAATCCATAAGTCGGGTAGCAGCCGAGGGGACAGTCTCTAGCTTCAGCATGGGGCAGCTTTGAACATATTTTAATGTGTTGCTAAAAATAGCCTCTCTATTCAAATGGAAGCAATGTGTCTGGGTCTATTCAGGTCTAGATTCCTTCCAGCGCCAGACAAAACAAAATGAGAGGTCAAGTGGCACCCGGGCCTCTGTCCCCGACAGGCCCTTGCTTTAGTGAGGAAGCTGTGAGTGTCAAGTTTGCCTAAGTGATCAGTCTTCCTGGGTTCATTGACCAGCCATGGTGGATGGACACTGCCCTATATGATGCACCACCCAGACTGCCTCCCAGGGGCTCAGGTCCATCAGAGGAATATCTGGTGTCTGCATCCATCCTGTGGGCTGATGGGAACAGCCACAAAAAAAGGATACAAACCTTTCCCGGGCACATAGGAAGACAAGGGATGGACAAATTGATCTTTGAAGAGCCTCTTCCAATTGGAGATACCCATGGCTATCCAGGCAGGAAGACATCACCATTTGCAGCCTCCCCTACACCATCAGTGACTATGTCCCTTGTACCTCAGCATCCCTCTTTTCTCTTACACAAAATGTAGGAAATAAATGAACATTTTGGCATTCTGGTGGCTCTTGAACATAATTATGTGACGACATCTTCAGATGCCTCAAGGGAGAATTCTTGGCAACTTTCCTAAATGAAACACCTGGCACTGGAGAGGTAATGGCTTTATCCTGGGATCACCTGTGATTTCAAATGCTATCTTTTGTACAGCTGAATGGCTCTTCTTGGATTAAAAACAGACAAACAAACAAACCCAAATCCTTAAGTGAATAGCAGGGAAAGTGGGCAAAGCCAGGAGAGGATGGAGTGAAGAGCCAGGTGCTTTAAGGTCACAATGACAGCATACCCTCTTCTGCTTCTGGATAAGTTGCTCCAGCTCCTGCTCCTTCGACAATAATTTCTTCTCCAGCTCCTGACTGTGGGCCTGAAATCTCTCTGTGTCCTGCCAGGCCGGAAAGAAGGACATGTGAGGCCCAAAATGCACCTGGGATGTAGATATTTTCCCCACCTTGGACCTGCTCGACAAACAGAGCCCACCCATCCTTTGGGACTTAGAGGCCCTTCCCACGCCATTCCCAGGCTTCGGTATCCTGCCTGGCTGGCCAGCGAGGCCCAGTGAGACAGAGAGAGGGTGAGCCCTCAGTAAGGCATGACACTAACTCCCACCAAGTGTGACCATGACTAATGCCTGATGCCTGTGCGCCGCCCCCCAGAAAGAAGGCAGCATCAGTTGGCGGTGGAGTCCTGAACACAGAGAAGGGACAGGAGCCTAAGTTTGAATCCCAGGCCCCACATCTTCCCATCTGTAAAGGGGGGGGAGCATGTAGAATGACCTTCTAATGTGGATTCTCTGCTCCATGGTGGGCACTAGCACTCGAACTTAAACTGCCCTTGCTCAGGAAACACAGGGCACGGCAGGCATCTTCCTCTCTAGGGTGTGGTTCCTTGCTCTTCCCCACCGTGACTGAGCTGGCCCAGCCCTGCTCTTTGTGAAATCTCTGCTCCTGTGCTCAACAACAGCCCATCCCCTCCTGCTCTGAGCAGAGAACTCCATGTGAGGAGCTCAGCATGGGGTAAAGAGAAAACTATGTGGATTGTCTGGTCACGGAGTCGGAGTCGGAGCCGGGTCCCTCCGCTGGGCATCAGGAGACTGGGGTTCCAGCCGTGGCCTTACCCAGTTGACTTACTTCACTCATCTATCATTATTTCTTTGTTCACAGGATAAAAACAAAAATATGCAGGCCACCTGCAGCTCGCCACTCTCCTGAAGGCAGAGAGGAGGTGCAAAACATACAGGAAGAGGAGAAACCATTACAATGTCCATATAGCTCACTGCAGGAGCCCCGGGGTTCCGCCTGCTCAGGAGGAATGCCCAGCTGTGGGATGCTGCATGCTACAGGGGCTATGGGGATGGGCATGACAGCGCCCCGGGGGGCAGGAGGGCATGCAACCACTCCCAGGGTACAGGCCTTTGGCTCAGGATTAGTTCCGGGGCTCATCACCTGTAGACACTACCTGGTTCCTCAGCCCGTTCTCTGGCAGGTAAATAGAGCTCAGGCAAAGCCTGTGATTGTCCTCATGTCAACCACATGCAGTGGACAGAGGCAGGACTTGACCAGGCAGCTCCTGCTCTCCACACTTTGACCAGGGGCCGAGCTTCACTCAGCTTGGTCATCGCACACAGAGTAGGTGTCCCATGCACGGTGCTGGGGATGGGGAGTTCCAGAATTCCAGTGCCATGCTGCCATCCCCTCAATGGGCCTGCAGAGTGTCTTATTTCCCTTGGTGGCACAGACTGTCCAGGGCATCTATTATCCTGGAGCTGGAGCATGCAAGCAATAGGTATTTCCCTCATGGTCAAACTGCTACTTGTAGCACCAGGATCCAAGCACTGGCCAGAAGGGCCAGCCCCTCCCATGTTGCCATAAACTGTAACACCAGGACCCGTGGGTGGCTCAGCAGTTGAGTGTCTGCCTTTGGCTCAGGTTATGATCCTGCGGTCCTGGGATCTAGTCCCGCATCAGGTTCACTGTGGGGAGCCAGCTTCTCCTTCTGCCTATGTCTCTCTCATGAATAAATAAAAATCTTAGAAAAAAAAAAGAAAAAAGAAACTGTAATACTACTGTCCTCACGCTGTGGTCAGGCAAAAGCTGGTGTTTGCAAAGCCAAACACATCTTAATGGTTTCCATGTTTATGCAAAAAGTGTAAATCTAGGCACCAGGCCTGAAAGGCATGGGGTACTAAGAAGGGGAAGGAGGGAGCAGAGAGTGGGTGCAGGGATACAGAAGCATGGTTCTATCACCTGGCATGATCCTAATGTGTCTCTGAAGGTTTTCCTCTGACCTCATCCCATTCCCAGTTCCCAGGCCTTGGCCCACCTTTCACTTCTGGTAGCATGCTTCTTTCTTTAGCAGGACTTTGACCTGTAGTCATGGCCCAGCAGTAGATCATTTGGGATAAAGGGAGGGGCTCCCCTACTGCAGGGAGGAAAAAGTCTGCTGTTCTCAGAAAACTATTTTAGGGTCCACTAGGTGACAAGTGTTTGAGTTCTGTCTGCCTGATACTCATCCAACTACGTCAAAGGTCCGGGACAGGCTGAATGTTCTAAAGCTCCAAAAAAGAATAAGTGGTGGGGGGTGAGGTCTGGAAATACTGACAAGCCTTCAGAGGGGTCTCATTGGAGAATATGACTGGCTTTTTCTGGAAAGCATTCTGACTCCACTTCAGTTTTTTCGTTTTTAAGATTTTATTTATTTATTCATGAGAGACACACACAGAGAGAGAGGCAGAGACACAGGCAGAGGGAGAAGCAGGCTCCATGCAGGGAGCCCCATGTGGGACTTGATCCCAGGTCTCCAGGGTCATACCCTGGGCTGAGGGTGGCGCTAAAGTGCTGAGCCACCTGGGCTGCCCTCCACTTCAGTTTGAATGACATTTGTGATAGATAATAAATAGAGCCTTGGTGTGGGTAATCCAGCCAGCATAAAATTAAAAATCAATTCAAAACAACCTGCATTAAGGAGGAGGGATGGGGTTGTGACCATAGCCCAGGTATGGTTCTTTTTTTTTTTTTTTTTCCAGGTATGGTTCTGAGAGGCAGGGGACGACATGGTCTCTATGTTGTATCCTCATAAGTAATATGCTAAAACTTATCCCCTAGGTGGTGTCCCCAGGAGGTAGGGCTTTTGGGAGGTGAGTAGGTCATGAAGACAGAGCCTGCATGAGTGGGATTGGTGCCCTTATGAAAGAGACCCCCCAGGCACCTGGCTGCCCCCTCTGCCACATGAGGACACAAGGAGAAGGCCACAGCCAAAACCAGAAAGTGGGCTCTCACCAGAACCTGACCACCATGGGGGCCCCGGTTTTGGGCTTCTGGCCTCCAGAACTGTGAGAAATAAATGTTTGTTGTTCATAAAACTCCATTTTATGGCATTGTTTTAACAGCAGCCTGAACTAAGGGAAGAGGCTACCATTTAAGATCAAAGACTTTTCTATTGAGACCCCACCGGGGGATAATCCAAAAATGGATAAGAGAGAGTTTCCTGTAGCTTTGTTTCATAAATATGTTCCCAAGAGGACCCTGCTTAGCTTGAAAAAAAAAAGAGAATTTTGCCAATCTTGACCTCCCAACACAAATAGCAGGGCTTAATAGGAGGCTCAGACTAGGACGAGGGGATGTAAGTTTTAAATGTTCTCCCACAGTGTCTGAGAAGGGGGTAATTTGACCTGTCTTGGGCATTACATTTTCTAGGTGTCTAAGGGAAAGGACCGGAAGCATAGGCTCTAATGATGGTGTCCTGAGGGGAGTTGCTGGGAGTTGCTCTGGGAGATGGTGCCCAGCGGAATGAACTGCATTCAGGCGGGCCTGCCATCTAGGTGTGGGGATCAGCCAATGTGACCCAGGCTAGAAGCTGCTGTAAGGGGCAATGCATGGACCCTCATCCTTTCATTTATTTATTAGCTCATTCTTTTGTCCCTTGTTCATTCATTCAGTGATTCAACATGTGTTCGTTGAGTGCCTACTATTCAAGTATGGCTGAGGTGCTGTGGACACATGAGCAAGTGAAGATCCCTGCTCTTGCAGAGCTTTCCTGTTAGGAGGAGACAGATCCCAACCAACAAAAATAAGCAAGGAAATTAACTGCCACATTTGAAGGTGACAGATGCCGTGAAAAATCTAAATAAAGCAAAGAAACAGGGAACCCACAGTGCAATGGGTAGGGGTGCTGCGATCTTAAACTGGGGAGGGGGTCAGAGCAGGTGATCATTCTGCTGGGCCCCCGGGGCCAAGCCCTAGTGTGGATGACTCTTACTTTCAGGAGAAACTGTTCCTTCTCATGTTTTATCTGCTGTTCCATTTCCTCTTAGAGATGCTGGATTTCTTCATCATAAGCAGCAATTTTCCTGCAAAAGTGGCAGAAGGAGAGTCTGATGAGGTCGACAAAGACGTGCTTCATCCCAGAGCACAAGTCCTGGAGCCTGGGCACCAGAACTCAGTCAGGAGCTTGGGATGGTGGGGGTGACTGTGTAGGTCAGGTCAGCTGAAGCTGCGGGATCAGTTCCTTAGGGTTAGCTGACCACACAGACCTAGCAGCACCTTCTCCTCCTCCTAGATGAGGAGGCCATCATTTCTAGCTGACCCACACACTTCTCAGTGAGGCCTCCCTGGCTCCATCTTCCTTAGCCCTGCTTTATGTCAACAGCAAGCCCCCTGGCAGCTGTTAGACGGATCTCCCTATTGGCCGCTGCTCCCTACACCTGAGTCAGCATAAAGTTGTGTTGTGCAGGCTTATTTTTGGGTTCTTGGTTTGGGTTCTTGTTTGGTCCCCTTCCAACTTCGGATGCCTGGCTACCTCAGCACTCCCTGAACTACACTGTAGAGGGCTTCTGCCACAATTGTATGCTTAAGTTTGTGTGATCCACATTTCTCGGAAGATCTCAAGATTCTGTGACAATGACAACCACTGCCACTATGCACCCTACAAAGGAAGGAGGGGCCACTGAACAGATGTTCAGTGCTCATGCCATCTCAGGCCCATGGCCCCAGGCAGATGGCATGAGAAGGGGCAGGCTGGTTAAAGGTGGGTAGTGATAATGAGACGTCCTCATCCACCCTTCCAGCATCTTCTCCCTACACTGAAGAGACCCACAGGACAAGAAGTAAATACCTGGGTACTCTGCTCCTATATAGAGACCAAGACAAATATGGCTATGGGAACAAGGTTTATAGGTCCTCTCTGGCATTGTTCCTCTTTCTCTCCCAAGATAGATTCACCTTTGAATGCCTCCCCCTCATGGTGGTCCTCATCACCTCCAGATTCAAACCTGAAGGCTGAGCATTTGAACTGAAATGGAAGTTATCCAGCCAAAGCATTCCCATTCCCTGGACACTGCACTGTTATACCTCTTCTCCAACCTGCAGTTAGGTTCTCTCTGGCTCAGTCCCTCCTGGTTTTCTTTCTCACCTGCTAAGTGGAATCTCGGCTCAGGAGCAGGCTGATGTCTTGGCCCTCAAGGTCTGTTTTGAACACATGCATACTGTAAAATTTGGCACTTACCATTCTAAACTCAAATGGTGGCAAGCCCTCTCTGCCCTTTATTCAAGTAAGGAGAGTTTAATAATTAAGGAAATGGCTCTGATTTTCAGTTCTAAGAGGTACTGGGGAGATTTCTGAACAAAACCTTAGGATAGCAATGTGTTTATTCCTCTGAGTCCTTCATTGTTTTAACTACCACCTCCCTAATGTCCACTCAGAACTCCAGTCCAGTGCCAGGCCTTCCCTGCTGCCTGAGTATGTTCCTTCCTCACTTATTAATACCGGCACACATGCAGACTGAGCATGACTAAGGAGCCTTTTTTGACTGGCATCCGGCCTGTTCTGTAGAAACCACAAAACTGACCGAGACAAGGCACTGGTATGAGATTTCAAGGCCAAGGTCATTCATATCAGAGCAGAAGCCTCTAGGTTCCCTCTCTTGGCTATACCCTCAAAGCCAGAAACCCTTTGAGTTAGTATGGCAATGGCCTCAGGATGCACTCAGCAAAAGGTAACTTCTTTTTTTTTTTTTCCAGAAATCGGTGTTTTTTTTTATAATAAATTTATTTTTTATTGGTGTTCAATTTACCAACATACAGAATGACACCCAGTGCTCATCCCATCAAGTGCCCCCCTCAGTGCCCGTCACCCATTCACCTCCACCCCCCGCCCTCCTCCCCTTCCACCACCCCTAGTTCGTTTCCCAGAGTTAGGAGTCTTTATGTTCTGTCTCCCTTTCTGATATTTCCCACACATTTATTCTCCCTTCCCTTATATTCCCTTTCACTATTATTTACATTCCCCAAATGAATGAGAACATATAATGTTTGTCCTTCTCTGATTGACTTACTTCACTCAGCATAATACCCTCCAGGTCCATCCACGTTGAAGCAAATGGTGGGTATTTGTCATTTCTAATGGCTGAGTAATAGAAAAGGTAACTTCTGTGAGCTGGAGCCCTGTGTTTACTACCATCCTGGGTGTAGGAACTGTCTTGTTGGCTAAGAGTAAGAAATCTCTTCTTGCTCAATGAGAAATGTTTTAGATTGTTACTTTTGCTTGTCCATAACAAGTATAAGAAAATCTTGGAGAGGAGTGCCTAGGTGGCTCAGTCAGTTAAGCGTCTGCTTTCATATCTCAGGGTTCTGGGATCAAGCCCTGCATCTCATCAGGCTCTCTGTGCAGAGAGCCTGCTTCTCCCTCTCCCTCTGCTGTTCCCTCTGCTTGTGCTCTCTGGCTCTCTCTCTCTCTGTTAAATAAATAAATTAAAAAGAAAGAAAGAAAGAAAATCTTGGAGAAAAATAAGGATCAGAGGTACCTGTTATTGAATAGGAACACCTCAAGGACAGAAATAATGCTTTTTGAAGGGACTTTCAGAAAGAAAGTCTTCTCTTGGTCCCTGGAATTATCTCTCTATGTTCAAAGAAATTCAGGTGCTAGATGGCAAATGGTATCAAGGACAACTTTAGATAGTGATTCCAGCTACATAAATACTGAAGAACTAATAAAGTGAGATGAGAGAAACTTAAAAATTGATTTGCTCTGATAAAGCAATACTAATTACAGTCATCCATATAAACTGTTTACCACTTGTGCTTAATAACCATACAGGGCATCAATTCTATACCATCATTAAATGCATTATATTAACTTTGCTCTAAGTTTTATTGGATTAAATTAATAAACTTTGGTTTTTATGCTCACATGTCAGTTTGCTTGTCATAAAGTAAGTAATTTTCAGAATGCTAAAAAACCAAATAGGGGGAAGGCCAATGGAGCCTCTGAATGGTGCCTACTTCTAGCCCTCATTAACAAAGGCTGAGTCCATTGCAAAGAAAGCCTGGGGTTCCAGGTAGGCATCAATGAGCCTGGGTCCAATCTAACCAGACCCATCTATGGAACCAAACCTCTGGAAATTCTTTTGAATAAAGCTGGCATCCTAGGGGGTTGGCCAGGCCTGAAAGTCTTCTGAGGATGAATCCTATAGGACTGAATGACTCATAACCAGCCTTAGTCAGACACATGAGCCCCAGGAATGGGGAGCATCTTGGTGCTGTTCACATCATTCACACCACTAAACCAGCTCAGGGATCTTAATATCTAATTCTGAACCCGAAATCAGTTCATATCCTCAGCGTGACCTTGAGCACTCTGACCTCCTTACATCCCAGAGTAGCATCTGCCCGGATTGTCCTCCCTTGGCCCAGCACTGGCATGACAAACAAGAGAGAGCGCATGAAAGGCATTTGGAACTGCAAAGCCCTAAATAAATGTAGGGGATTATTTATTATTGTAATTATTGTCATGGGCTGTGGAGGGCAAGAGCCATTGTTCCCAAAGGGGAGGAAGGTCTAAGTTTCAAGGGTAAGTGTTGCTGGGTTTGGCATAGGTAAGAGGCAATCAGGAAGATGCAGAACAGAAAGCTTTACCAATAAAGTTTCTGTCATATCAATCTGTTAGACACGCAGGCTGTGTGTAAGCTGGACCTGCAGAGCCAGAAGCCTGTGCCTGTGGGGAGCTCTGCAGCGGTGGTGAGGACGGTAATGGTGAGAGACACTGAAAAGGTCTGCACATGTGGCGTGCGGTGTGTCAGCAGGCACACCATATTCTTCCACCAAAGGAAAGAAGCAACCGATGATGTTTGCTTAGCATATATATCGGTGTTACCACAATTTCTAAAACCACTCATATCGCCTGATGCACACATATACTTTTTCGTCTTCTCTGTGTGGATTTCGCGACCTATCGGATTCCTCACTGACCCCTTCTCTGAACTCTTTTAACATCAAATGTCTTTAACTGAATATTTACTTTCAAAATCCTGAAAAATTGGGACACCTGGGTGGCTCAGTAATTGAGAGTCTGCCTTCAGCTCAGGGTGTGATCCTGGGGTCCCAGGATCGAATCCCACATTGGGCTTCCTGTGGGGAGCCTGCTTCTCCTTCTGCCTATGTCTCTGCCTCTCTCTTTCTGTGTTTCTCATGAATAAATAAAATCTAAAAAAAAAAAAAATCCTGAAAAACTGTCTCGTCTGGGCTTATGCTGTCTCAACTAGGTTAGGACACCCAGACATTTTTGTCATCCACAGAGTCAATGCCCAAAATGTGAATGCTGAAAATCTGTACAAAAGAATGTAAGTCTTTGGATACCTAACTCAATAGCCCATGGAAGGAACATACTGGGGGAATACCAGATTACAGAGGAACTGAAGAATTTCAAGGTTGGAAGGTCTATCTGATCCAACCACCTATTTTCCCAGTGCTAAAACCCTTGCCACAATGTCCCTGCCACATATTTATCCAAACTAGGTTAGAACACCTCTAGTGATAGGAAACTTGGCTGGATCTCTAAACAGCTCTTTCATCTTTGGAATATTCTGGATCACAGAAATATATCTTTCTATGACCTTATCCCAGCTCTGCATAAAAACCTTTTATATATTTGAAAACAGCATTAAGACTTCAAGGAGTTGCCTTGGGTTTATGCCATGCCTCTCCACTTCCTCCAACCATGTCTCACACAGATTTTTTATTTTTATTTTTTTGTGTGTCCTTTTACCTTTCTCTTTACTTTTCTCTGAATATGCCCTGATTTAGTTTCCTCCAGCCATGGAGCCCCAGACTGAATGCCCAGGGTGTGAAGTCTGATTAGCACAGCTTACAGCTGGACTATGCCTCTTGTTCTAGATACTGCATATCTATTCATGCAGCCTAAAATCACATTAACTTTTCTTGGCAGCCACACCACAGTTGACGAATGCCGAACCCATTTGTCAAGTAAAACCTCTAAATCTTATGTCTGTGTAATTGTTTTTCCTTTAAAGATGGTGCTACTAAATCATATCTCTTCCACCTTGTGCCTCTGTCA